AAGTTCAATGTGAAGAGGCTAAATAATAATAAAATTATGGTTAACAACAATGTTCGCAGTGAATCATCAATCGTTTTTACAATTTTCTCATAATTTTAAAAAAATTACATAAATTAATGCTAAAATTTTAACATGTGTATACATTAATTAATTTAAAACAAAAAAACAAAAAGTTACCAATCATTTACAAAAAAAATTAAAACTTTTAAAATGAACAAACAATTTTGTTTACTTTTTTTTTTTTTTTTTTTAACGTTTTACAATGCACAACACATTTATTGTTCTAAAAAAAAAAAAAAATTAACGATAAATGTAATTGTTAAAATGTGCCAAAAATAATTTAATTTGATATTTTTAATGATATATAAAAAAAAAAAATCACTGTGAAATTGTTATAAAAATAATTAAGTGCTCTTTTGCTATTAAAGTAATCAATCATCATCTTATCGAATAATAATGATTTGAAATTAAAAAAAATTTTTTTTGACTAAATTAATATAAATAATTAGTCAAATTAGATTCAAAGACTTATTATCGACATTTTTGTGCTGAAAACATACAAAAAAAAAAAAATTAATTTTTCTAGCTACATTATTATTATTATTATTATTATTATTATTGTGTTCATTCGATTTAAACAAAAAAAAAAAAAAAAATGGACAGAAATGTAGTTAAAATAGTAGTTAAAAAAAAAAAAAATTTGTCTTTTTTCTATTTCTATTTCTATTTCTACCCTTGAGCTATAACCAAAGTTATAAATAATAATAATAATAATAATAATAATAATTTTAGCTTTGTTCTTATATAAATTAATTTATTATTATTATTATTATTATTGTATAATGTAAAGTGAGTTTTGTTTTTAATGAGAATATGTATAGTGTAAGTGTGTGTGTGTGTTTGGCGGCCATTTTGTATCATCCTAAATAAAAAAAATTATTAAAATAAATTTTCATGCATGCTTGATTTCGTGCCAATGAATAAATTATTTATGTTAATTATGTATTCAAATTTAAATTAATAATAATAATAATAATAATAATTGAACGAAAATTCATTTAAATTAAATTTAAAAAAAATACATAATAGAAAAAAGGTATTATTATTATTATTATTATTAAAAAAAAAAAAAAAGATTATTTTTCTATCATGTAACCTATTTTTTTTTTTCAATTTTTCAATATTTCAATTCTTAATAAATTATTAATTAATTAATAATAATAATAACAGGTTTGAATTGTTAAATAAAAAAAAGGTTCCAATTAAGGTACACATTCTATGTATATGTGAAAATTAATAAAAATATTGACTGAAAATCAAGTAGGCACAAGTAAAAAAAAAAAAAATTAAATAAATAATCCAGCACAATAATAATAATAATAATAGATTTAAGCACATAAAATTTTCCTTTTACAAATTGATTCATTATTATTATTATTATTATTATTATTATTATTATTATTATTATTATTATTATTATTATTATTATTATTATTATTATTAAGTAAATAAATAAATAACGGCCGTAAATATAAAAATTAAAAAAAAATTTTTTGTCTTATTTATTTATTTATTTTTATATTATTATTATTATTATTATTATTATTATTATTATTATTATTATTAAATATTATTTATTAATTTTTTTCTTCCTATCAATTATCCAGTCGTATAGATTTTTATAAAGCTTTTGCATATTTTTATATGTATGTATACATACATACATAAATACATTAATTAATTAATTAAATAAAAAATAAATAAATAAATACATAAAAAACGCATTCAATCGTATACTTGTGCATTTAATAATTATATATATATATATATATATATATATATATATATATAATTTATTTTTTTGTTTCCTTTTAATATTATTATTATTATTATTATTATTATTATTATTATTAATTATTAAAAAATAAAAGCAATATAATAAAATTTATACAAAAAAAAAGTATTTTTTTAATGATACAAAAATAAAAATAAATTGTTGTAATTTTTAATTATTATTATTATTATCATTTTTTTGTTTGTAGTTGTTGCTTTTGTTCGTAATGTTTGTTAATAATAATAATAATAAATAATAAAACACCAAATAATAAACAATTTAATTTTTTAATTACCTTTTTATTAATTATAATTATTTTATTTAATAACAAAAGGATAATTAATTAATTTTATTTTCATTTTATTAAAAATTTTTTTTTTTTTAAATATATTTATTTTATTTTATTATAAATAATAATAATAATAATAATAATAATTTATAAAATTAAAAATAAAATAAAAAAAAAAAAAAAAATAAGAGAAAAAATTATAAATAAATAAATTAATTAATTGATTTTTATTTTTATTTTTTTTTGTCGATATTAAATAAATTATTATTATTTATTTATTTATTAAATTAATAAATTATCTAATTAAGTCACACGAAACAAAAACAAAACTAAAAAAAAAAAACTTATTTTATGTTTTATTTATTTTTTTTTTAGTTTTTCATTTTACAACTACAATACAAAAATCTATTTAAAAAAAAAAAAACGTTTTTCTTATTTATTTATTTATTATTATTATTATTATTATTATAATAATTTTTCTCCTTCTCCTCTTCCTTCTTTAACACATTATTAAATTTATTTATTTATTTATTTTTTATGTGTGTCTTTGTTTATTAAAAAATTTACTCTCCTTATTATTATTATTATTATTATTATTATTATTATTAATGTACACTCTTATCACTGTTATCATTTTTCATAAAATAAATAAATAAATAAGCACATAAACTTAATTTTTCAAGCCTTGTGTGTTCTTATCCGACGACGACGACGTCCATCTTTTTTTTAACGTACGAAAAATAATAATAATAATAATAATCGTCTTTTAAAATTTCATATATATATATATATATATAAATTACATTTGTAATACTAATTTAAAAATAATAATAATAATAATAATAAAAAGTCGTCGTGATTTGGATTTGTCAAACGTTCATCATTTGTTTCTTCATTATCATTATCATCATTATTATTATTATTAATTAATAATATACCGATCGATAAATAAATAAATAAATAAATACAAAATCTATTTTAGTAAAAAAAAAAATGTTTTGTTCAAGAGGCCCACAAAAAAAAAAAAAAACATTTTCCCTTCTCTCTCTTTCTCCCCGCCCCCTCCGCTCTCTCCGCCCTCTCTGCCCCGCCCCCTCATGAAATTTAAATTATTTTAACGGTTTTAAAAAATAAACAAACAAAAACATCCGCACACAAATCCTTATAAACTCTTTTTTATCTCTCATTTAAAAATTAAATTATTATTTAATTGTTATTTATTAATAAAAATAAATTAAAAATTTTCATGCACTAAATTATTATCATTATCATTATCATTATCATTATTATTAATCTTATTATTAAATTTTTGTTTTTATAAGCTTTAAGGCTAAAGAGAACACAAGCAAATAAGTTATGCATATTCAATCTATTATTATTATTATTATTAATAAAATTAAAGAAAATTAATAAAAACAATCCGATGTTAATCTAATCGATTGTTGTTATGTTAATGATGATAATGATAATTATGTATTTTTTATGTAGTAATTTATTATTATTATTATTATTATCATTTTACAAAAAAAAAATATATCGCATTAATGATAGTAATTTGAGTTAATGAGAAGAAAATAAATAATAAATAAATACATAAGTAAATAAATAAATAAAAATAAATAAATAAATAAATTGTCAGAAAAATTTTAATAATTATTAAAGCTAATATTGCAGCAAACAATTAATCAATTAATTAATTAATAATTAATAATTAATAATTTTAATAAAATATACATATACGTGTATACGTCTGAGTAAAAATTCATTTTTCGTCATTAATAATAATAATAATAATAATAATATTGGCCCGATAATATCATTCACATTAAGTGGAAAATTATTCCCCCTCCCCCCCCTTTTTTTTTTTTTCTTAAATTTGAAATCTACAACTAATAATCATCCAAATCAAAGTCAATATAAAAATGTACAGAAAATAATAATAATAAATAAATAAATAAATAAATAATACTAGGGCGGCGTTGCGTCACGTGATCCCTCCCCCCTCCCGACCCCCCGACGTGTAAAACAATTTCACGCACGAAAAAAAAAAAAATAAATAAATAAATGTAAATATTATTCGTCAAACAAACAATTAATAATAATGATTTCTTCATTTATTTTCAAACGAACTTTTAAAAAAATCATCATTACGGAAAATTTGAAAATCTCTTGCAAATCACGTGATCATGTAGATAATCCCTTATTACATAAAATCCCACGTTTTCCCGTAACCGGAAATTGCGCATAATTTAAACACAATAAATTATCATACAATTTTTAAAAATTTCTTTTTTCTTTTCTTTTTGGTTGAATTCAAATAAATAAATAAATAAATAAATAATAATGATAATATAAATTACAAATAATAATAATAATAATAATAATAATACAAAAAACAATAAAAATAAATAATTTCATCAAATTTTTCCTCCACTTCTTCTTTTCCTTCTCCTTCTTCTCCTTTTTTGTCATACAAAATAATATTTATTATTATTATTATTATTATTTTATTTAATAACAAATTTTCATTAAAAAAAATTGTGATTGTTAATAAATATACAAAAAAAATAAATCATCGGCCCTTGTCTAAATAATAATAATAATAATAATAAATAAATAAATAAATCAAATCAAAGTCAAACAACAAAATTACATTAATAAATTACATAATACTGTCAAATTAATTTTATTATCATTATTATTATTTTCGAGAGAGAGAGAGAGAGAGAGAGAGAGAGAGATTTTACATTATAAAAAATTATTTAATAAAGCAACTAATTTTTAAATTAGTTTTTTTTTCTTATTTTGTAATAACTAACTAATTCATATTTAAAATATCTCATTCGTGAATTTCTCTTCTTTCTTTTTTTTTTCCACACATCATCATTATTATTAATATTATTATTATTATTATTATTATTATTATCTTCCACTCGCTTATTTATTAAAAATGACAAAATATCCATAATCTTTAAAAAAAAAAAAAAAAAAGTGCATAGCGAAGCAGCGGTAAGAAGAAGAAGAATTGCAGCAGCAGCAACAACAAATATATATATATGTACGTAACTATATATAAAATAATTAATAATAAAAAATAATATATTAATAAATAATATTTATGTATGTAAAATTATTAAATTTCATTTTTTTTTTTTAAAGGCAATTTATAGCGTAAAAAGCAACGCAACGCCGATTTGCCTTAAATACTTTTAAAAAAAAAAAAAAAACTTTATGCGAGAGTTTCAAACGATTCGCGAGTAATTAATTAATTAATTAATTAAACGATGATAAATAAATAAAAATAAATAAGGTACAAACTTCTTTCTTTATGTTTTTTTAAGAGAAAAAGAAAACAAATCTGACACTAAATGAATTTTTTTATAATAAAAAAAAAAACTCGGTATCGAGAAATTAATTAATTAATTAAAGACCCTGTTGGTGGTGTCCCGTTTCGCCCGTATATCCCGTTTTTCGTATCTTTTTCTTTTTGAAATATTAATAATAATAATAATAATACTCTTCTTCTCTTATTCCGCCGTCACATTAGCACTGTCCTTCTTTTTTTTTTCCTTTCTTTTTTTCTTTTTTTCTTTTTCTTTTTCTGCCTAAGAGAGAGAGAGAGAGAGAAAGAGAGAGAGAGAGAAGTTTAAGAAAAAATAAAAATAATAAAAAAAAAAAAAATTATTTAAATCTTCAACTATCGTAACTAGATGACCCGTGATCGTGTCCTCCTGGACTGGGAGGAGTGCTAGGATTACTGCTGTTGTTAGATGCTATCGAATGACGCGGACTCCCACCGCCGGATTGTTCCTAGAAAAATTGGTATAATAACCCATTTTAACAGGAGTGTGAGAAGAGAAAAAAAAAAAAAAAGAAAACCTTTTTTTTTACCTTTGAACCATTGTTTAATGGACTCAATCCGATATTAACATGAGATAATTCTGCGTTCACGCTATCCGAAGGAGTTCTCGGGAGCGACGGTGGCGTTACCGAAGGTCTAGGCGGAGGCGGTGCTCTTCGTAAAATATTTGTTGAGCCTACAATAAAAAAAAAGGGAGGAGCAAGTTAATTCATGTTTGACACACCCCCGATTTAAATATTTCAAAATATAATATAAATATGTGTCCATAATCTCAGTGAAAAAAAAAAGAAATTTCATCAACTACTTGCAGTAGAACGAAAGTTATTTGTAAACATCATCGATTTTCATTTGAATTAAATTTTATTATAAAAAAAAAACTCTGGAACTCACCATTATGAACTGGATAACCCTGGTTGTGTGTCATGTGACCTGAGTGTCGTCTTTGTGACTCTGGATGAGGTGAATTTCTTATGGGCGGTCCGGGAGGATGACTGGGTATTTTGGGAGGCGCAACCGACGGGTGAAACAACTGAAATTTTAAACATTTTAAATATTTGTCACACGCCGAATACCGCCGAATACCGCCGATTTTATTTAATATTGTTTTTTCAATTTATCGAAACTTACTCGGGACGAACTATCCTGAGAAGAGATTGTTGGATGAGGGCTGGATAAGGAGGCCGAATCGGCAGTCTCTAAAGTCGTCGGAAGATCGATTAACCGTTGAATTTGTATTCCTTCTCCGGGTCCCATGTGACTTATGTGATTGAAATTCGAAGGCGCCGATATCATTTTCGATCTCCAATCAGTCCTACCAATTTTGCAAAAAAAAATAATAAGGATTTCGAAGGGAAAACCCGCTTACTTAAAACAATTTTCCTTTTTTTTTTTTTTTTTTTTTTTTAGTTAAAACTTACATTCTGGCGGTTCTGTGTACTTCCCGAATTGAAAATCTTTTTCTAGGACGCACTGGAGTTTGTAATCCCGTACTATCTGTACAAGTGACATTCACTGCATCTTCTATTTAATAAAAAGAATTTTGTGATTGTATCATAAAATAAATCATAATAAATAATTATAAAAATAAATAAAAAAATAAAATAAAATTTTCTCACTTAAATGAATATGTGACAAATAAACAATGTACGCCAAGTCATTTATTATGCATATACTTAAACTACCAGAATTATTTAACGGCTTAGCCTTTTTAACATTTATTGTCTGAATCCAATCACCGGTCGATGCATTGAAAACGTCTATGTGAGTATCGGAATACACTAAAAGATGACCCTCTAAACAACCTGTAAAACAAATAAAATAAAATAAATTTTTTTTTTACTAAAACGTGATTTAAACTATAAGGTATTCAGTTTTAAATTTACTTACTGACTGCCAATGGAATAGCAGGATACATAATTTCTTTGTCCCGAGATTTCCTTCCTTGAGAATCCGCGTAAATACCCAGAGTTTGAAAAACCAATAAAAATTCACCTCTCGGCAATTCTATGGCACGCAAAGCATCTACAGAACTGTAAGCGAGAAAACCCAAAACCTGATTGTCTGGATGCACCAAAGCTGCAAAGCAGTAAAAAAAAATACATCATTAACGTTTTTCCAATATTAAATATAATGAAAATGAATAATAATGTGAGAAATACTTACGAACAGGATGATAATCACCCATAATACTGTAAACTGTAAATCCAGACTGATAACCGATGCAAAGACGACCCTCCGAAAGAATGCTAAGAGTTTGTGCCTGGGTGGGTAACATTAATTCCCGTAATCTTTTATGTCGCGCTTTTGTTCGCGTGATTTCGTAAACAATAATTTGAGACGTATTCTAAAAAAAAAAATTAATTCACAAATTGTTCGAGTGAATGACACACATTTTTAATCTTTGACGATTCGATTTACCTGTTTTTTAATAGCCACGCAAAGGCAATAGCTCAAGGGATTTTTTTTCATGGGACCCGCCGCAAAAGTAATGCAACCTTTCGTTTCGGCTACTTTTATCCATTCAACGTCGTCACCATCCAAAGCTCGGATGGGTACCAAACGAACGTGCCGCTGTTTGCCGGAAAGAACAACTAATAATTGTTCCTCTGCTATGTACTCCAATTGATACACCTTTTTACCTTCTCCTATTCGAGCAATTTCTACAAAAAGGAAAAAATAATTCGAGTTAAAACCCTCCGAACAAATTAAAATTCTGCGTGATTTGAAAATTTAAAAGTATTTAATTTTAGTACGTAAACTCACCGTAGCGATCCAAATCCAAGCAGAAAAGTCCCTCTTCTGCTCCAATGACTAGTCGATCTGGATCTATGATAACTCCCGACATTGCATTTTTTATAAAAGCGCAAGTACTGTCCAGCAATTCTTTCGCTTTAAAAACCTGAAAATTTTAATAAAATTTAATGCGGACGATAAATACGAATTTACACGTTTAAAATTTACTAAAATATAATAATTACCACAGTGTTGGGCAAATTATTTCTTTTTAATATTCTATGCAATTCGCTAAGTGCTACGACCCATTTACTTTTTTCATTTTCGCTGTCCGCCAACATCAACGTGTGATTTTTAATACCGTAAGGTTCCATCAAAGACGTCGTGATCTAACAAATTTTTTCAATTTAAATTTAAATTCAATTAAAAATGTAAACGGAAAAATTTAAAAACGAATATTTTAAAAAAAAAAAAAAAAAAAAACTCACCCTAAAAATACACGGGATATCTTTTTTGGTTGCGTGTATGACATCAGATTCTCCGACGGAACTCACGGCAAAATCTTCATCCCTCATATCTAATATTTGGGATACGTAAATGGAAGGCAAAGCGTTTCGATCGGGAGATATATCGTATAAAAATAATTTAAAATCACAAACGACGACGAATTGACGAATCCAACCCTTTTTAACACCTCCGCTCTTTGGTACTTTTACATAACCTTCGTATGCTGTTCCGATACCTCTCGTCGGATCTATACCCAAAGGTCTTTTAGCTGAAATTAAACGAAAACATCTTTTAACATCATTCAATATAAACGTGAATAAGAATTTTTATTGATGTCAAATAAATCATTACTCTGATCAGCAGGCACGGGACATATCACTGGTACTTTATCGCAACACCCAAGATGGCAGGCAAACCCGCAGGCCTCGCACACGACACCCTGTCTAGTGAGTCCTACCATGAGTGAAGTGCAATGATTACATTTTTGTGGCGAAGAAAATGTTCGAACCAAAAACTGGTGAGATTTAGGCTTCGGTGGCAAGTGAAGTGCTAAATGTGATGACGGTCTACGTATTTCTAAAGGAGAACCAGGATCCTAAAATTATGTACACAAAAACGTTTTTTTAGAAAAGTTTTTTTTTTTTAAATTGCAATTGATTATATATGTCTCTATTAATTTTGTGCAATTTGTTTTCTTTCTCAGTAAAAAAAAAAAAAAAAAATTTTTTTTCATCAACTTTGTCCAGTAGAACGAAAGTTATTATTACCAACATCATTGAAAAATTCAAAAACAGTAAAAAAAAACAGAAAACATTTTTAATTTCAACTCACTATGCTAAGTTCAGAGAGATTCGATTTGCTGCTGGTGAATGAAGGAGCTCTGTTGTCTTCCACGTCTCCTTCTTCACTTTCAACCGAGCCACCGTGGCGCATGGAAGATTCTTTCAAAAAATGATCCAAATAAGACATTTGAGATGGCGGCCTTTCCAAAACTGAAACAATTTCAATATACATTAATTACGTACACGCACACTCACACTCACACACACGTAGAAACGCACACACACATATATATGTATTTTAAATATATCATTATTTAAAATAAAATAATATTAATACAAAATAAATTTTTTAATAAATTAGAAATTGAAACTTGAAAAAAAAAAAATTTCCCACGGACAAATACAAAAATTTTAAAATTATAAATTTGATGCACCTTTTTTTTTACATTTTTTTTTTTTTTTTTTTTACATATTTTTACTGCACCATTTAAAGTAAGAAAAACATAATAAATTTTCAATTTCAAAACACACACACGCACACACACACACATAAGAAAAGAAAAAAAAATTATTTCACTCTCCAAAATAACACCAAAAATAAAAAAAAATTATTTAAACAATTTTAAAATATTCAACAACAACAACAACAACAAATGCAAGCAACGACTGATTAGAGATAATCGACTCTAATTTTTTAATTATTATTAATATTCCTTCATATTTAAACATTTGTATAAACAAATATCACAAAATAAGTTATTAAAATAAAATAATCCAAAAATAAATAATAAATTTACATTTAAAATTCAAATAATCATTATTAATGAAAACCATGCTTCGTATTGATTGTATCAATAATCACTTTATCTTCCAAAAAAAAAAAAAAAAAAAAAGAAAAAAAGAAAGAAAACAACTAAAAAAATTAAATAAAAATTTAAAAAAAAAACGGAAAAATAATATAATAAATAATATATATATATATATATATATATATATATATATACTCAAACTGAACAAACTGAACAAAATTACGTTACCGGTTGACGAGGCTGGGCCTAGCGTCCACGGTAACCCGGTGAACATGTTTCACAAATACACTCTCATAAGTAGCAGAAGAAACCCCCAAAGACAACCAGTAACACCGATAAACAGAGGCATTTTGTCTAAACAACACAAACATTATGTATGCAATATCACAAAATTTAATAACAATTTTTTTAAAAAAAAAAAAAAAAAAAAAAAAAAATACAAATTTTTTTCCCTTTTGGGAACCATATTACGTAGAATTAAAATGACCGATTCCTCCGGGCGGGCGGGGCGTTGTTGTTTAAAAAAAACAATAATAATAATACTTGATAAATTTCTCAAAAAAAAAAAAAAAACCTAATATGGAGATAAATAATACGCGAGATCGCGATGGATTTTTTTTCCCTTTGGTTAAATACTAAAATTATTATTGTTAAGTATTATTATAAGTATTATTATAAGTATTATTATTATTATTAATCACGTAAATACAACATGCTTGTGCATTAGTGTCAACGTCAACTAACTACATTACCGAAAAAAGTATAGATTACAATGCTACTAGAAGTCAAAGAGTTTTTTTTTTCCCCCAATTTCGTGCTTTACTTTAGACAATCTACCAAAGAAAGATAATATAATTCAACACTAAGCAAAAAAAAAAAAAAAAAAAAACTTTTTAATGCAATGTATGCATAAATAGAAAAGTCTTTTTCATTTTCTCATACTTTACCTGTCAAAGCTTCAAACAAGTTTGCAATAAAAAAAAAATAAAAAAACGATTCTAATAAATATTAATTATTAACCCTTAATATAAAAGTTTTTAATAATTTACACGTGTACGACAACGTGTAATCTTAAATCTTTCCTTTTTTTTTTTTACTTTTTTACTTCAAGTGCAGATTTTTAGAGAAAAAAATCAATCAATTCTAATACCAACGATTGGTTATCGCACGCAAAAATTTCTCATCGATTAAAAATAAAAAATAAAGAAAAAATAAAACATCTTACATCCTTCTCCCGAGTCTAATCTACTTTGCAATTCTTTGATTTGTAATTCTTTCCTTTTGATTTCGTGAGAGAGACTTTCAAAATTTGCATGAAAATCACGGAGTTCTCTACAATAATAATAATAATAATAATAATAATAATAATAATAATTAAAAAATACGTAACGTGATTACAAACATTCGTTAACAAAAGGGGAAAATTTATTTACTTTTGAGCCGCAATGAGTTCCGTTCTCGTTTTCGTCAATTCTTCGCTAATGACTTGTTTGGCTTGGATTTCGGATTGTAAACTACTTTGAAGGTTGAGTAATTCCATTTTATCCAATTTTTGACTTCTCCTGTTTCTCCAATTTTTCGCATCGCTCGAATTCACGTTTGAACTCTTTGAATGTTTTAAAAATTCCAATTCTTCCGTCATTTTCGTCGTCAACGCTTGCAAATATCCTCGAGCGTCTTTTTCGTCGCTCACCCTATAATAAAACCAAAAAAAAAAAATTTTCTAAAACGGAATTTACGTTAAAAAAATAATAATAATTTTTTCTTTTTTTTTTTTTTTTTACCACTGTATTATTTCAGTGATTTGAGCTTCCCATTGTACTATAGCATCTTTTTTATTTCTCAATTCTTCGTACTCCTCTTCAATTTGCCGTCGTTCGCTTTGAATTCTATCTACGCTATCGGATAACTGAAAAAAAAAAAAAAAAAAAAAAAAAAAATTTAACATAAATTTTCTTTTCACATCGTAACGTATGTAATTATCATTATTATTATCATTATTACGCAATACCATTTCAAGATCCATCATTAATTTTTTATTATCTTCCAACAGAATCATTTTTTCTCGTTCGTGTCTTCTCGTCAATTCCGATATTGTTTCTTCGCTGTCGGTTAAATTTTCCAACCTTGAAGTTTCTAATTTTTCTTTGGCTAAATGAATTTCCCGATCCAACATTTCCCTCCTGTTTCGCTCCTCTTGCAATTGATCTCTCAGGCTGCTGATTTCGACGGTGTATCGAGATTGCTGTTGCGATAAATTTTCGTTGTATTGCACTTTAAGTTTTTCAACTTCGGCTTTTAACCTAAAAAGTAAACACGATTGATTTTTTTTATTTTAAAAATTAAAACAAAATAAAATAAAATAAAATCGAAATGTTTTTTCGCCGCATCGGTCAAATAATAATAATAATAATAACAATATTAACATTGGAACTCGTCCAAACTAATAACTTTTATCGAGGTTAAAAAATTAAAATAGACCGAAATAATTCGGCATATGTCATCAAAGTAAAATAAATGCAAAAGAAAAATTCATCATTTCTAACCTTGATATTTCTTGTGTGGCATGAGCTTGTGCGGATGTATTATCACCTGCCACCAGTCTCTGTCTCATCTTTTCAGTCTCTTCTTCAACTTGTTTACAATACTCTTCGCTCCTTTCTCTTAATTTCCTCTCTTTTCCAGCTTCCGCGATAGCCTCTTCTATCCTGCCCTCCAGTTCCCTCCTCAACTTTTCCGCTCCCCTTATGTCGTGGCGTAAAAAATCGATTTTTTGCATCGCCACCTCCAATTCTTCCTCTTTATCTCTCACTTGTCGTGATAATTTTTGTTTTTGCTGCCTTAACTCGGATAATCTATAGAAAAATAAATGTTTAAGCCGAAATAAATTTTTTTAAGCAAAAAAAAAAAAAAAAAAAAAGTATTGCGTACCTATCGGTCACTTCGTTATATTCCGCCATTGCGAGTTTTCTTTGAGACAGAGCATCTTTTAATTCTTTGTCTTGAAATTTTAATTTCTCTTCCGCATCGAGTTTGTCTTTCTGCATGGAGTCTTTTTCTTGATTTAATAATTTTATATTTTTTTCCAACTCTTTAATTTTTTCATCGGCTTCCGAATCATTGACTAAATATTTCGTATCGGATGTTTTTTGTTCTAATAATTGAATTTGTGCCTTTAAGTCTATGTAATTGAAAAAAAAAAAAATTATTATTATTATTATTATTTTTTTTTTTTTGTGTTAAATTCAATTAAAAAAAAACTTACCATTGTTATTTTTGGTCAGCGTATTAATTTCTTCTTGTAATATTCTGGTACTGTTAGCCAAGTTCATTTTGTCTGTTCCCACGTCAGATGAATTCGAATTGGATACTTTTAAAATTTTGCTCTCTGAAAATTTTTGGAGAGTATGCATGTAATTGCATTTTGTTTTTTTTTTTTTTTTTTTTTTTGTTTTTAAATAAAATATATAAAATAAATACCGGATAATGATTTTAAAAGAAGTTGTTTTTCTTCTTCGAGTTTTTTAACTCGTTTTTCGACTAGACCACTGTTTTGTTGAACACTACCGATAGGTATCGAAGACAAATCTGATATACGGCTAAAACAAAAGATTTTAAATTTTTTTTGTCAAGTAATTTGGCTTACGTCGTATTAATGTTTTAGGACAAAAACATTATCATTTTTACCTTCCTTGTGTGAAGGTAAAACCAACGAAAGGCAAATGTAAAGCACTAAATGTTGGATTTGCTGCTGGCGGAACAGCGTCAGATGTTCTTATATCCGTATCATCTACATCGAAGTTCGAAGTATCGGTTGGACTACTCACTTCCGGAACATAAGGCGCGGAACTGTCTCTAATGGAGTCCCAGTCAAGACCATCGAACCAAGCATGATTCTAAATAAAAAAAAAAAGAAAAAAAAAAATTAATATTTAAAATCATTAAAAATTTTACAAATAATATAATGACTGAATCCGTACCTTAAAATCTTGTACACCGTTTTGACCCAATCTAAATTCTGCACTGCATATTAGTTTTTTAATTAAATCTTTGGCTTCAGGAGTTACTTCATAACCTACGTCTTGAGGAAAATCAAAACAGTTCTAAAAAAAATTAAAATTTCTTCATGATTAAAGTACATTTACGAGAGGAATAATTTTTTTAAGCTGCTTCTCGTCAACGGTTATTAACGCAAACAGCAATATTTACACCAAAAAGCAGGTTGAAGTTTAACTAACTGCAATATAATTTTAATTTAAAAAAAAGTTTACCTTGTGATTCATAATTTTTCCATATGTTTCAATAAGAGATTCTGCGTAAAAAGGAGTTTCGCCATATAACATTTCGTACATGCACACTCCCAAAGACCACCAATCACATTCTGGCCCGTACCTTCCTTGTCCATCCTCCATAGCCTACATTAATAATAATAGTAATAATAAAAATAAACTAATAGAAATTTTTTAAAATTATTATTCAATAAAAATATGATTTATTACTTACTCTAAGTATTTCAGGAGAAATATAATCCGGTGTTCCAACAGTGACATTACTTTGAACAGTGCCATCTTCTAAAAATTTCAAACAAGAACCAAAATCCGCGAGACGAATGTGTCCGTTGGCATCTAGTAAAACATTGTCGGGTTTGATATCCCTGTGTACGTAACGCAATTCGTGAATCGAACTTACAGCAAGGATCATTTCAGCAATGTAAAATCGAGCCATGTCCTCGGGTAATCGATCTTCAAACTTGCTTAAAAGAGTTAACAAATCACCTCCACAGTAATAGTCCATTACCAAATACTGAAGAGAAAAAAAAAAAAAAAAAAAATTTTTTTTTTAAAATCCAAATTAAGTAAGAATTTATTTCTAATATATAAAATTTCCATAAAGAGCTTACCAGATTATTGTCATCTTGAAAGGCATAATGCAAATTAGTAATCCATCTTCTATCGCCGTAAACAAGGACATCTCTTTCTTCTTTGAAACAGGCTGTTTCTGCTCGTTTTAACATTTCCCATTTATTTAAAATTTTCATGGCAAAAACTTTGTCGGATCCTTTCATTTTAACAACGCACACCTCTCCGAATGCTCCTCTCCCGATAACTTTAATTATCTCAAAATCATCTCTAGCAAGCCTGAGATTTTTAACACATGATGCCACGGGTTTCACTAAAATAATTTCAAATAACAAATAATGTATACATCATTATAACTTTGTAGCCACATAATTCACATCTAAATTATAAAATTTTAAAACTAATAAAAGTTAATTGAGAAATTTATGAAACATAACAGAAATCAATTAATGCAAACATCCATTGCTTAACCGTTTAAAAACTTAAATTAGCTAAATTTATAATAAATGTTATTAATTTAAATTAGGAAATTGTCATCAATTGATTTTCTTACCAAACTCGATAAAATCAGACACAGCCTTTTCCCTTCTAAGTGATGAATTACAACATTCATCATACAATACGAGTAAAATATCAAGGCATGTTTCCAGACTGAAACACTGTCCCTGACCTTGAATGGGTCCTCCCAAAAATAAGGCTTCCAGCTGTTGTAGTCTTTTCTCACCTAAAATATATTTAATTTTTTTTTTGCATAAAATATAAATAAGTTTAAATAAAATAAAATAACTCAAGTCAACTTTTAAAAAAGAAAATTTTTACCTGTGGTTCCATGGCTTCCAGTTTCTGATGCCAATTTTTCCAGAGTTTCAGACATTGAGGCACATTACCCCAAATTACTACCAACTCATGTGTCTCCAAAACATTTTTAGCTAAAACAAAATGAAATTATTTAGAAATAAAATCATGTGGATTCTTCTTGGAATTTTCGGGTAATAAAAATAAATTTTTTTACAGTTAAATTCTTACACCGATTCGAAATCTTGTGCGTCTTATTAACTTGACTAAAAAATTTAAGTTATAATTAAAAAGACGAAAATACTTTTAACGTAATTAATATATATATATATATTAGCTTATTATAAATACATTCGATAGATTAAAATATTATTACGCTAAACTCGTAAAAGGTTTCAAATAAATATTTATTTAAAGTGCACGATACTTTCAAATTTAATTTTCGATAAATGAAAAATAAAATAATTAGACTCACTGGCGCTGAGAAGCTGAATCCTTATTACGATTTATGTACATTTCTTACAGATAAATAAATTCTGTAACATTAATTGACTGTATAAAATGCATAAAAAAGAAAATTCAATGAAGCCAAATTCAATATATAATTAATTTGTGATTTTACGAATGATTATCGCAATGCTTATTCTAAAAACATTGAATTTGACCCTTCTTGCCTTACCGAAATATGGCTGCCACACCTTGGAGTCACTCAGAGAATTCTGGGAGTGTGGAACACAATGCATAATTGCCAAACTTCCTATTAACTTTTTTTTATTTTTATTATTATTATTAATTTTTTTTTTGTCATTTTTACCTTTGCTTACGATAAAATTTCAATTTTACTAATTCTAAAATATTTCCTTTAAATATTTAATTTAATAAAATCTTTTTTATTTTATAAAATTCAAAAATCAAATTGAGATTTATTACAGTGTTGCCGATTTTTTTATTATTTCTTATTTAAAAAAATTTTCAATTTAATCATTAATTTTTAAAATTTTTGTAATTATCTTTCTAAAAACGCTATTATTAATTTATTATTGATCTTAAAATTAATATTTTTTCGTTATTTAAAAATAAAATTATTAAACATAAGTTCAAAAATATTAAATTACTTACATTTTTGCATGACTACTTAATAAAATAAGTCACTGTGAAATTTACAATTTTTTTAAAAAAAACAATAAAATAAAGTAAAATACTTCAGTATAAACAATTTTTAATAATAAAATTGTTTTTATAATATATAACGATTAAAATAATTAGATTTTAGTTTTAATTTTATTTTACAGTTTTTTTCGTTACCAACGCAGTGTAGCGTCATACGTAAGTCATATTGTACAAAATGGAGGATTTAGGAATGTAGGCCTCAAATAAACATTTTCAAACAAGCCATTTTGTGTTAAGGTTGAATGTTAAACTTATTTGTTTTTATTTAAGTTTATATTGTTGATTTTATTTTATTCGTTATTTTTTAAATGAGAATTAAGTGGTTGTTGAAGTTAAATTATCAAAAAGATTTTTAAATTAAAGCTACACAAACCGCCCGAGAAGCCAAGGTAAGTGAGGAAATGCCACTGAATGAATTACGTTTAAATCCATTTGTTTTTATTAGCTTTGTAAAATCTCTAAAAATTGAATTTTTTTTTTTTTTTCGTTTCAGATATACGTTTATAAAACGTTTTAAATCTTTCACAACATGTATTTTTTAATAATAAATAAAAAACATTCGAAAATGTTTTGGTGACGTCGTGATATTCGGTTGTTACATTAGTAAAATTCGTTTTGTTTTGTTTTTACCCCCCGTGTTTAAAAAAAAGCCGTGTTCATGGTGCGACGACGGGAACGTTTTGTACCTCCGGTACCCAAAATGGAAGAGCCGGTTAAAAAGAAGCCCAAAGTAAATGGTGGAGATGATAGTGATGACAGTGAAGAGGGCGGAGAAAATGATTTGCAATCACTTCAAAAAAATTTACTCGAAAATTGTTTATGTGGTGTTCCTCAAACCACCTTGTACAAAGCATTTCAAGATCAAAGTAGTAATAGTTCTAATGACCAACATCCAAATATTAATTTGTCACAGTGGGACATTGACAGGATTCTTAAATTTCTCACATGCATTCATGTTTTATGTGAAGTGTCAATAAAGCAAAATTTGGAAGGATCGACATGTTCAAGAATTAACGATGTGTGTGAAGCTTTAATTAAAAACGAACACGGTGTTATCGATGAAATATTGGATTGCCTAATGCACAACAATCAGTTTGTTTGTTATACAGCTTGTAAAGCTTTAAGCAGTTTTTTTATCATTTGTAAAGCCAACTTGCATTCAAAATGGCTTGAAAGAATAGCGGATAATGCTTTAACAACTCAAATACCTAGAAAAATGTCAAATTCGTTGGATGTCGTAAAGAGGGTGATCGAATGGAAGGATAATAACACTCATCCTTTGGAAGATAGAGGAAGTGGATCGCAAAATTTATTGCATCCCCTGTGCAATGCCACTAGTCTCATGGATACAGAAAGCCCAGATAGTTCTGAGGTGAGTTATATTTAATGACACAAAATTACTTACTAGCATGTAACGATAGTAAAACACTCATAATTATTATCACACACATTTTACATAAAATAATTATCATTAAAATTAAACTCGTTCTCTAGCGAATACAATATTTGAATTAAAATTCGATTGCAAAATTTTTGCAATCGGAATATTTTTTTTTTGTTTTTCCTCAAGTATTATTGCTTACTCGTTGTAACATTATAATTTGATTAGTTTGCAATATTTTAAATCAATAATTCGAAAATAAAAATTGATCGCTTTTTCGAAAAATTGCTGCATATTCATTAATTAACATCAAAATTGGCAAAAAAAAAAAAACAAGCATGTGCATATATTTACCTTAACAATAAAAAAGACGCTTAATTATTCGAACGAATGTGTTTCTTTCTTTTTTTTTTTTTCTTCTCTCTCTCTCTCTCTCTTCTCTCCAAACAAGGTTTGCCCTTTCTCGTGCACCTTTGCCCCACGACCTGTTTCGTTTTAAAAAAAAAAATTTATTTTATTTTATTTTGCTTTACATTTATTTTCATTCATTGTGAGAAAAAAAAAAAAAATGGCCGATAAATTTTAATTAAATGTCAGTTGAAATGTACATCGATTGACAAAATGCAAATAAAAATAATAATAATAATAATAATAATAATAAAATTTTCAAACGTGTTTGAAGAGAAAAAAAAAAAATAATAATAATAATAATTTTTTCTTTTTGGGCAATTGTAACCGAGAAACAACTATGAAAGTGTTTTCTAATCTAGTTAAAAATCTCTCTCTCTCTCTCTCTCTCTCTTTCTCTCGTGTATAAAATTTATGGAATTTCGTGAGAGTCGAGGTATTAAAAAAGAAAAAGAAAAAAAAAAAACGTTTGGATTCATTTTAAGGTACGCGGGTTAGAGTATAGAAAAGCGAAAAAAAAAAAAAAAAATGGCATCATCTTCGTTTTATTTTTTTTTTTTTTTTTTTTTTTTTCCGAGTAAATAATTTACCGTTTAAAACATTCACTTTTCCTGTACTCGAAAAAAAAACTACCAAAAATTATTAAGTAGAAAAAAAAAGGATAGAATAGTAAATAAACATAATCATCATCATCATCATCATCATCCCTTGATTCATTCATTTTTTTGATAGGTGAAAATCCAGTTCAGGTATGCGTGAACGATTTTTGTTTTTTTTTTTTTTTAAATCAATTCTTTTATTTGGGAGGGTACGAATAAAGGATGAAAAAAAAAAAAAGGAAAAGGGCCTAGTTTAAATTGGTCCTCATCATTTCCGATACGTGACTTGCTATTATCTCGGCTTGTTAAGGAGGCTGTAATAATCTAGAAGAGAGAATATATATTTTTCCATAGTAAATCACGAACTTGGCTAAAATCGTCCTGTTGCCTTCACGTCGCGAGTTTTTCAAATCTCGATTATTACTTATTGTTTTTCATTTTTGAAATTTTTTCTTCTTTTGTTTTTTTTTTTTTTTTTCTTATTTCGCGTCGTCGTCGTCGTTGCAATTTTATTGTTAAAGTTGTTTGCGATTGTTTTTTTTTTTTTTTTAACAAATCAATGATTATGCCCCCCATCCATTCTTTGCAATAATGCGGTGGGTGGATTTTAAAAAAAAATTTTCTTTTTTTTCAATGAAGTTTAAGGCGGGAGGCCTTCGATTATCGATCTAATAGATATGTAAGCCTTACATTGTATATATACAATCGTCTTGTTTTGTAACGATGATGATGATGATGAAGGGAGAGGGGGAAAACCTTTGTTTTTAACATTTCCCTCCTCTTCCTCCTCCTCCTCCTCCTCCCTCCTATCAATCCCCTTCTTTAAGATCTTTGTTTGCTGGCCAAATGGTTTTCATCATCTCTGCCAAAATTCACGCATTTTTATTTATTATTATTATTATTATTATTATTATTATTATTATTATTTACAAAATGTCCCAAAGCGAATTCCAACGTGGGCGTAAAAAAATATATATATTGTATTTAAAAAAAAAAAAAAAAAAAACAAATAAAGAAAATAATTTATATGCGCGTATAAGTTTTTTTTTTTTTTATTTAGTTGTGGAAAATTTTTATAGTCATTTTTTTTTTTTTTTTTAAATATAATAATTACTATCGATTCACGGTTCATCGATTTCAAAATAAAATAAAATAAAATAAAAAACGTTATTTATTTATTTATTTATATTATGAAATTAACGTTAAAAAAAATTGTTTAACGTAAAAAAGTATTCGTAACACAAAGAATAGAATAAAAGAGAAGAGAAAAACTATTATTATCATCATCATTATTATTATTATTATTATTATTATTATTATTATTATTTTCTTAAACGTATCTTTTAACTTGTGTGTGTCATAATTTAAACAAATATTTTTCCTTCAGATTTTTCAAATAGAGAGAGAGAGAGAGAGTAATAATTAAATTTTTTTTTCTTTTTGTTTAATTACACATTTTAAAACTTTGGCACAGCTTTGCCACGAACATTTTTTTTTTTCTTTTTCTCGTTTTCATCATTATTATTATTATTATTTCACAGAGTTTAGGTTGTGTTTTTTTTTTTTTTACTGCCGCGAGTGTTTTTTTGAGCGCGGGAAGGGAAGGGAGGGGGAAAAACATCGAAAGTTAAATTACCCTTTTTTGTTTTGATGGTGGTGATGGTACTCGTCTAATGATCGGGTACGAAACGAAACGAAAAGAATGTTTTTTTTTTGTTTTTTCCGAGCAAATTTTTCAAAATGGGGGGTGGGGGGGTGCTGCGTACGTACGACGATAATGATAATTCATTTTAACAACAACAACGACAACGAAAGAGAAAATCAAATTTAAATTTAAATTTTGCGCATAAAAATGTAGGTTACACGGCCGAAGAGTAAAAAAAAATCGATCGAACGGTTATCGATAATAATAATAATAATTCGCTTTTTCCTTTTTTTCTTTCCTTTTTTTCCTTTTTTTTATCCTTAAAAATTTTTTTCCTTTTTCCTTTACGTCACATTGAAAAAGATCATTTTCCAATCCGACCCGTTGCATAATTATTATTATTATTATTATTTTGTACGAATAATTTCTTCCTCGTCTGGTCGTACCTGTCCAGAAAAAAAACTATTCCGGGTCATGAAAATTATTATTATTATTATTATTATAATTCCATCCCTCTAATTTTAATGATAACCTCGTGATGATATAATTTTTATTAAAAAAAAAAAAAAAAAAATTTAAAATGGTTTTTTTTTTTTTAACCCTTCATGATAAAACCGAAAAAAAAAAAAATTTAAACGTACGGTCGATTTGTTTTTTTTTGATTTTCAGGTTTCAGGTTTTTTTTTTGTTTTTAATCTACCTTTTAAATCTTGTCGTATGTATGTATTCGTTCGGTAAAGGTAAAATCATACACGCACACACACGCGCACAATTTTCTTTTGTGTGTAATTATTATCTTTGATTTTTTGTGTGTATTTTTCTTTTTACTAAATCTCGATGGGTCAGTGATTTTCTCACTGAAAAAAAAAAATTGCTTTCACGATGAGAGAGAGAGAGAGAGAGAGAGATAGATTCACCCGTTTTTTTTTTTTTTTTTTTGGTAAAGAGGTATTTTTTTGTTTTATTCAGGTACGTACGAGTCGGTTGTAAGTGTGTGTGTTTGTTTGTCGGAGACGAACCCTTGGCATCTGACCGTAAAAAAGAAGAAAATTACTTTAATAACAACTTTTTGTTTCGACTGACCGATCAAAAAAAAAAAAAAAGAAAGAAAGAAACAACAATATGTTTATTTTCTACCTCCCCTCCCCTCCCCTTCTACCCCTGCCCCCTCCCGTTTGGGTAATTGTTTTCTTTAAGGTTCGAGACTGTGTTTATTTAGAGCATAATTTTCGGAGTTGTTCCAAACTTTTTTTTTTTTTAATAATAATAATAATAATAATAATAATTGCTAGAACATGATCGTTATTATTCGTCGTTATTCTCTCGAATCGATCTTCTTCTTCTTTAATTTTCTTTTTTTTTTTTCCTCCTTCATTAAAAAAAGAAAATAGAAAATGGCAGAGAAATGTTATTGTTTTATTAATTTCCTCCTCCTCCTCCTTCTTCTTCTTTTTGTTTGTTGTTGTTTGTTGTCGATCTTTTAAAAAAGTCAAAGTTAAATGTCAGAGAACGGAGTCTTCTTCTGTTGACATTTTGAAATTTTTTTTTTTTTTTTTAAATGATTTTTATTATTATTATTATTATTAATGTTCAATGTTTAATTTTCAGGTCAAATGTATCTGCATAAAAGTATTAGAAGTTAAATGGCCGGATTTGGTAAAAAAAGTAGACGACATGATATCAACGTACACATCGGAAAATGAATGCGCAATCGTTACCTTTCTCGGACTTTGGGAGTCCATAATTTCGGTCAAAGCGAATTTGTCCGTCATCGACACGAAACCCTTTTATTCGAACCTATACAGTTTTATTGTGGTTTTGAATTCGTCGGTGCCTTCGACCGTTTGGAAACATTTATTGAATCTCTTCAACGAAGTTCTCTGCTACGGTAGCACTTTGGCTTTGCAAGTACGTTTTCCCTTTGCAACCTTTGAGAAGGTTTTGTTGCAGAATGTGATTCACTCATTGATTGATGTATCCCTTAATTTTAGGAATGCTTGGCGGAAGAACCGTGCGCACTCGCTCATCACGTCATGAGAAGCGTAAAAGACTGGCGTTTGTTAGACCTTCTTCCTTTTCGTAACGGAAGCGGAAGGTTCGGAGGAGGACGAGGAGATGGTGACAGGCCTCTGTTGCAAAAAATGGCATTGCTCGTACTCAAAAGCGTTGCCGTGACCGTGAAAGAAACGAGATACGAATCATCGAGCGATTCCTCCGTCGGATCCGAAGCAGATGACGTCGATGCAGACATGGCCGTGATAGAGCGAAGCATTCGCGAGGTAAAATGTGATTTTTAGGAGCAAGTCTGTGAGACTCGGCTCACTACTCCAAAGAGAGACATTGCGTCGAGATGATAATTGTAATCAAGTTAAATGATTATTTCTTTTTTTTCTAGGTTCTGAGGCAGTTGGACAATTGCGTAAAGCAACTCCTTCCTTTTCATCCCGAAACTCCTCTCGCGCAGTGGGTGGTACAATTATTCGCGGATCAAGATGACTCTCTCATCGAAGCCATGGTTTGTTGCCTGGACGTCAGAGTCGGTTTATACTACAGTCCGACGATGACTCCTAACCTGTCACTGAGTCCCACCAATACTCTGATCGCTTTTCTTCACGTCGTCAGTCACGATCCGGACGTACTGTTAGATTTACTAGTTTCGAACGAAACGTGCTTCCTCTTGTATTTGCTCCGGATATTAAAATTCATGCGACGAAATTGGTCGGAATTTGTAAGTTGTTGCGGTCACGAATTGGACGACACCATGTCCGTGTTCATAAGACTCAGGATAGCCATCGACAGACTCGTTCAACGTGCCTTATTCCCGTATAACATAAATCCCGTATTGAGACTCCTTGAAAAATGCGAAGAGCTTTACGAGGGTGGAAATTGTTATTAATTATATTAATTCGACTGACTAATAATTATCATCATCATCATTCCTTTCGACGACAATACCTTTTTTTTCCCTAATATGTTCTCTATATAATCCTGTCGTGCCTTCTTATGTATACATACTTTTTTTTTCTTGTTAATAACATTTTCATACAATTTTACGCTTTAAAAGTATAAAAATAATAATAATAATAAAAACGAAGTAGAATGTAATATTATTTCTTCACGCATGTAATTAATTGTATATTTTTTTTTTTATAAGTATAAGACATTATTAATATTAATTAATTTATTTTTTTAATCAATACGAAAACGGTTAAAATTAAAATTTTAGATTTAATAAAAAATTTTTGGTTAAGATCAAACGTAGAAGATTTTTTTGTATTTAAATAAATGTTTAGGTTCCTTTTTTTTATATCATAAATAATAATAATAATAATAAATTTAATATTTTGATTATTAATTCATTTTAAATTCCACTACATATCATATCCTTAATTAAATAAATTGCAGCGATTATGAATTTGTTTAGTTTTATATAAATAAATAAATAAAATGTAATTTAAAAATATATAAATGGGGGATTAATTAAAGTTTTTAAATTGTAATTTTTTTAATAAATTACAACTAAAATTTTCACACACACACACACACACAGATAGAAACTAAAATTTTAAAATTCTTGTTTTTTTTTTGTGGCCAATTATTTAACATGTAATTTTCTAAAATGAAAACAAATTTTATAATCATTTTAAAAATTTTGTTTCTTTTCCATCGCCGAAATTAGTTTTTTTTTTTTTTTTTAATTTTTTATATTTAAAATAATTTAAGTTAAATTGTTACTTGCACCCAACCGGTTTTTCTATTTAATAATAATAATAATAATTCACAGTTAATTTAACCAAAGGTATATAAAAAAAAAAAAAAAAATGTAATCATAATTAAGTAAAACAAGTCCTAAGTAGAAATATATATATATATATATATATATATATATATATAGATTTTTTATATTATATATAATATAATATATATTTATATAGATTTGTTGTTGTTTTAAATATTAAGATTTAATTCATAACTAAAAATTATTTTAGCCAAGTAACTCAAAATGTATTAATTTTTTTATATTTGGAAGAAGAAAAAGAAATAATAATGATTATTTTTTTATTTTTTGTTTCATCATTATTAAATACATTATTATTTATTAAATTTGTTTTTATGTTTTATTAATATTTTCCTCCTATCATCTGATAATTATTAAGGGTGTGATTAAAATCTATTAAACATAATTATTTAAAATTTTTTTGCCATATTCCCAAACACTTAATAATATTTTAGCCAATAATTATAGGAAAGATTTTATGATTTAAAAGTTGTTTTTACTTTGGTTAAATACAACTGTTTAATTCGTAAATTATCCCGAAATTATAAAATCAACTTTTAAACATTTCCAATAGATAAATATAATTATAAAAATCATAAATATTAATTAGTACTCACCATATTTTGCACGGACGTTACAAAGTACTTTCCATCAAGTTTTGGCGCGAGAAATCCACCATGTTAAGTAAACCGAAAATACATAGAAATGTAACGAATAAATATGATTTTGAAAAAAATTCGTGTTATTTTCGAATTTAGTATTCTTATTTTTATTTCCCGAATACAAATTTACATTATTTTTGTCGTTTTTATCACTTATTTAATCTAAAATTAAAAACGAACAAAACTTACGGATTCACTTACTAAGTAAAATGTCGTGGAACTAGAAACGCTTACTACCATGTGAAATACAGTGTCATATAATTTAAAATTATTATTTATGTATTTAATTTTCAATATATTGCTTCATAATGAAGACTTTAGAAAAAGATAATGATAAAGAAAACATGATAATTTTTGTTAGTATTTAAATATATTGTTTGATTTAATTAGATTTTTTTACTTTCGTATATAAAATTTTTTGTTTTTTATTTTTTTAGAGTGAAGAAGATTTGGCTTATGAGGAAGATATTATTAAAAATCCTTATTCTGTTAAACACTGGTTAAGGTATATTGAGCATAAAAAATTTGGACCAGATGAAGAAATAAATATAACATATGAAAGGGCTCTCAAAGAGTTACCTGGAAGTTATAAATTATGGTACAATTACTTAAAACTCAGACGAACACAAGTTAAAAATATTAAAGTAACAGATCCAATATATGAAGAAGTTAATAGTGCATTCGAAAGATCATTGGTTTTTATGCATAAAGTATGAGTTATGGGAAGAGTTTTTATTGTACGAGTACTTATATAATATGATTTAAAAATTATACTCTTTCTTTCAGATGCCTAGAATTTGGTTAGATTACTGTCAATTTATCACTGATCAACGACTTATTACAAGAACTAGGCAAATATTTGACAGAGCTTTAAGAGCTTTACCCATTACTCAACACCATAGAATTTGGCCATTGTACATAAAGTTCGTTAAAAGTCACAACATTCCCGAGACTGCCGTCAGAGTTTTCAGGAGGTATTTAAAGGTAATTTTCATTGCTCTTGATACTGAAAAAACTTATGAATTAGATTATAAGTTGAATTACTGTTTTAGCTATGTCCTGAAGATACTGAAGATTATGTAGAATATCTAATATCAATAGGTAGATTAGATGAAGCAGCTTTGAAATTGGCACACATAGTTAATACTGATGATTTTGTATCCAAACATGGAAAATCTAAACATCAGTTATGGAATGAACTTTGTGAACTAATTTCTAAAAATCCCACCAAAGTCAGGTTAGAACAAAGCATTTTAAGTTTATTTCATTTTATGTTTCATTTTGTCATGGGTTTAAGCTTTTTAAAATTAAATTTCAGGTCACTTAACGTAGAAGCTATTATTAGAGGAGGATTGAGACGGTATACAGATCAATTGGGACATTTATGGAATTCGTTGGCTGACTATTATGTTCGAAGTGGACTTTTCGAGAGGGTAAAAATCAATTAAAACTAATTTAAAAGATAATATGAATAATATCAGTATACTTTTTTGTTTTTTCTTTTTTAGGCGAGAGACATATACGAAGAAGCCATTCAAACAGTGACGACAGTAAGGGATTTCACACAGATTTTCGATACTTATGCTCAATTCGAAGAATTAAGTCTCAGTAAAAGAATGGAAGAAGTTTCGAATGAACCGAATCCTAGCGAAGAAGGTTTGTAGCTAAATTACAAAAGAAATTTATGAATTTTATTTAAGAAAAATTAACTCAATGTTAAATCCCTTTTCAGATGATATAGATTTAGACCTTCGTTTGGCAAGATTCGAACACTTGATGGAAAGAAGATTGTTACTTCTTAATTCTGTATTGTTAAGGCAAAATCCACATAATGTACATGAATGGCAAAAAAGAGTTCTTTTATACGAAGGAAAACCTTTAGAAGTAAGTATTTTACATTTTTAAGGCTACAAAAACAAAATTTACTCGATTGATGAACTGTAAATGTATAAAATTAATTCCAGATCATAGACACTTATACTGAAGCAGTTCAAACAGTTGATCCTAAACTAGCCGTGGGTAAATTGTATACTTTGTGGGTAAATTTTGCAAAATTTTACGAAAAAAACGATCAGATAGAAGATGCAAGACTTATTTTCGAAAAAGCAACTCAAGTGTCCTTTACAAAAGTTGATGATTTAGCATCGATTTGGTGTGAATGGGCTGAAATGGAAATCAGACACGAGTAAGTTTTTTTTTACTTTAAACTAACGACAAAAAAACGATAGTTTTAAAAAAAAACTCTCATGATGATTTATAAAAGGCGAATGTGATTGCTGAGCTTCCGGTAATCGAGTCGGTCGAGTTCGCGAAATGCACTAAATAACAATAATAATTTCTGATTTGAATTAATATTTGAATTTTTTTTTTGGTTGAAATACATATGGATTTTCATTCACATCGTTTTCATTTTCAGAAATTTTTCGGAAGCTTTAAAATTAATGCAAAAAGCAACGGTTCCTCCACCTAGAAAAGTAGACTATCACGACGATTCGGAAACGGTTCAAAGCAGGTTGTACAAATCATTAAAAACCTGGTCTATGTATGCGGATTTAGAAGAAAGCTTTGGAACGTTTAAGGTACGTAAAGTTGTTGGGAACAAAATTCATAATTTAAATTTTCAAAACCCTAATGACGTCATAATTTGGTTTTTCAGACGTGCAAAGCCGTGTACGATCGAATTATAGATTTAAGAATAGCAACGCCACAAATAATAATCAATTACGGTTCGTTTCTAGAAGAACATAATTATTTCGAAGAAGCTTTTCGAGCTTACGAAAAAGGAATCGCATTATTCAAATGGCCGAACGTTTACGACATTTGGAACACTTATTTGACAAAGTTTTTAAAACGTTTCGGCGGTACGAAATTGGAAAGAGCGAGAGATCTTTTCGAACAGTGTTTGGAAAATTGTCCTCCGAAATATGCCAAAACTTTATATTTACTCTACGCCAAATTGGAAGAGGAATACGGAATGGCGAGACACGCGATGGCAGTCTACGAAAAAGCAACCTCCGCGGTACTCCCAGAAGAAATGTTCGAATTGTTCAACATTTACATAAAGAAAGCTGCCGAAATATACGGAGTACCTAAAACACGTCAAATATACGAGAAAGCCATAGAAGTTTTAGACGAGGCGAGCGCAAGAGATATGTGTTTGAGATTTGCCGACATGGAAAGAAAACTCGGGGAAATCGATCGTGCGAGAGCCATATACGCACACTGCAGTCAAATGTGCGATCCTAGGGTGCGACGTCATTTTTTTTTTTTTTTTTACCCGAAAAAAATTAATTTTTAAAAGATTTTACCATTTTGTTTGTGTCTCTCTCTCTTTTTATCAGGTTACCGGTGATTTTTGGCAAACGTGGAAAGAATTTGAAATTCGTCACGGTAACGAAGATACTGTAAGAGAAATGTTGAGGATTAAACGAAGCGTTCAAGCGACTTATAACACTCAGGTAATTATAAACAAAAGAGGTTGATCGATCGGTACTTACGAATAAATTCATCAATTTTTTTTTTTTTGATTTTGTCATCAGGTTAACATGATGTCGGTTCAAATGCTTTCCGCATCCGGAAGTTTATCCGCCGGTACGGTTGCCGATCTAGCCCCGGGAGCCAAAGACGGAATGAGACTTTTAGAAGCGAAAGCAGCCGAAATGTCGGTAGGAGGAGCAGGAGGTGGAGGAGGATCTAAACAAGGAAACAGTATATTATTCGTTAGAGGTGAAACTCACGTACAAACAAAAGCGGGTCTCGATGCAAAAGTCATCAATCCCGAAGAAATCGATATCGATGACGATTACGAAGAAGAAGAAGAAGACGAAGGTGATGGTGAAGGTGAAGGTGAAGACGATGATGGAAAAGCATACGGTAAACTTTTTTTTGTTTTCCTCTTGCAATTTTTCACAGATGATTATTATTATTATTTTTTTCTTAAAATAAATAATTAATTTACAGACATGCCAGTGGAAAAAGAAGTTCCTGCAGAAGTTTTCGGAAGTTTAAATCCAACAGCGAAATGAATCGGAAAAAAAAATATATATATATATATAAATTAAATAAACGTTTTGTAAAAAAAAAAAAAAATTTGTTTGTTTTCTCTTCCTAATTTACACTTACAAATACAACAAACAAACAAACGAATTCACGCCGTTCTTCGTTCACATCCGGTTGTTTTTTTCCCACGGTTGTGTTTGCGTTGCGTTTGAAGGAAATTTCATTTTCACACATTTTTTAATCGTAATAAAAAAAAATTAATTAATATGGTCATTTTTTTTTTAATAAGTAATTATTAAAATTACATCGATATATTATTAATATAATAATAATGATAATAAAATAATTTGATTGAATTTTTTTTTTTTTGTTGTTTTCTAATTTATTATTATAATAATATATGTATATGTGTAAAAACGATTGATTGAAAATAATTATTTATCTACATACGCGAGCTATGATGATTCTAATATTTTGAAAAAAATAAATTTTTTGTACGATTTTCCGCTTTCATCGCTCATCCGCCATTTTTTTATTTTTGCACACATTTTTTTCCGCAAATCAGACACACCCTGAGTCCCTTCCTAGTCGCTTCATGGACGTGGAAAAGTTTTAACGGATTTTTACGAAGAAAACCTTTTCCGGGTATGAAAACCCAATCTGCAAACAAAAACAATAACAAAATAATAATAATAATTATAAAACGTTTTTTTTCAGTCTTCGCGAAACGTCTGTGGAAAAAATTTTACGGAAAAATTTACGGGAAAATAATTTTTTTTTTTTTTTTTCATTAACAACATCCGGTTTTCTACCGGAAATGCAAGCATAGAATTAAAACATGCCAAGAAATTTTTTTTTCTTCTTTTAAACGTTTGTCGCCCGACGCAAAACAGTAATAATAATAATAATAATAACCTTCGCATAGAAAAACAAGTAAAATGAAAACTAACCTTTTTTTAAAATGGATGTCTCGCAGAATTTTCGACCGACATTTTTTTGTTTTTTCTTTCTCTCCAGAAAACCAGTAGTAATAATAATAATAATGATGATTAATTTAACCAAAAATTAATGTGAGCGGCGTTTATATACATAAGCACGATGTACAAACGTATGTGAAAGAAACGGGAGAGAGGGAGGGACAAGGGGAGTTGGGGGATGAGGGGGAGGGAGAGAGAGAGGGAGGGGCATGCATTTCCGTTTCCGCAACATTCTTTTTCCTTCCATCCATTCCTCCTCCTCATCATTCTTTATCTTTGTGAGCAAATTGAAGGTGACAAATGACGGCATAATCCGAACTGAATATTCCTCCGCAAATGTGACATTCTATTTCGTTTTCGTGTACGCGACTGTGAGCTTCCAGAGATTCCCGATGATTGAATTCTCTCGAACATTTTATACATTTCAATAATTTTTTCTTTGATTTCGGTATCGTTAAAGTCACTTTCGGTTCGAAAAAAAGCGGCAAAACCCGAAGTCGATCTGAAACAAAATAATTTAAACAAATTTAAACAAAAAAAAAAAAAAAAAACTTGCGTCGCCATTTTACCAAAAAAAAAACACATAAAACAAATTTACGGGTTTAATTTTAACATCATCATCATCATCATTATTATTAATCAATCAATAATTTTAATAACAGCTTAACTTAGGGCGCACAATAATTATTATTATTATTTCTTTCTTTTGTTTTCTATTATCGTTTATTATTATTTGTTTTTTTACATAAAATAAACTAATTATTATTAATTATTATTATTATTATAATTTCGTACAAACAAATAAATTAATATTTGTAAAAAATTATTTATTGATGATACAAACAACAACAACAACAACGGCAACAGCAACAAACAACTCGTCGTGTGAATAATAATAATAATAATAATCAATCAATCACTTTTCAAATTCGAACACAAATTTGTTCTTTTCTTACATTATTTCTTTCTTATTTTTCGTTTTCCTTTTTTCCTTTTTATTAATAATAATAATAATAATACTAATACTTAATCGTGAGAAGAAGAAGAAAAAACTAAAATTAACTTAAAAATAAAAAAAAAAAAACATTTTTTTGCCACTTACGAAATCATAGAAACTATAATCGTGTCACGACGTATTCACGACAGTCGATATTCATTCGAGATTTTTTTTACTCTATGAAATGTCGTCGCGGCGACAAACACACGCACAGACACTAATTTCAGTTATTATTATTATGATTATTTTATAAAAAACTTAAATTTTTAACATTGATAATTAAAAAAATGAAAAAAAAAAAAAAAAAACTTATTGTTTATGTAGTGATAATAATGATATGATAATAATAAAATAAAAATTAATTTTTTAAGTAAAAAAAAAAAAAAAAATATAAAAAAATAAATGAGATTAGATAGAGTCCATCGTCACGATCGTGATCGTGATCATCATCATCATCATCATAATTCAAAAGAAACATGGAAAATTTTCCGTTTTATGCTTTTTTCTTCTTTTTCTTCTTCTTGTTGTTGTCGTCGTCACCGCCTTCTCTATCGTTGTCATCATCACCTTCTCCTTCTTCTTCTTTCACGCCATTTTCCACGTTACCGTTCATTTGATCGTGTTTCGCCGTCGGTTGTTTGTTGTTGCTCAGGATACGATTGAGAATTCCCGCGTTGTTCATTTTGTGCACGTTTCTCTGGTGTCTTCGTAAATCGTATATACGATTGAATACTTTCCGACAGAGGTAACACACCGTCATGTCCCGATGAAGTTGCATGTGGCTATACAATGACGAATACGATTTGTAGCTGACGCCGCATTCTGAGCAAACGTGCCCAGGACTAATAACTACACCTGAATAATATCATGGGATTTCGTTAAACAAAAAAAAAACATATCATCCTAATTATCGCCTCCTAAACCTCCTCGAAATTCTGAACCGATGGGGGTGGGGCAACTGGGGGCGGGGGCAGAGAGACAGGGGGAAAAATCGATCGATCTGCGATTATTTTTTTTTTTTTTGAAAAAGTTAGTAATTAAGAATAAAACTTACGAAGAATATATAAATATATATATATATAAAACTTTACATAACATTATCAACATAACATATATAATAATGATAAAATAAATTGGAACTACCTTACGATTATTATTATTATTATTAAACGATTCCTATACTGAGAATTCTATGATAAATTATCTACGGTATAACTACATGTAATAGTGAAAAGATAAGATAACTACGTAAATACTGCATGCCTAATATATATGTATGGGAAGAATGTACAACAACATAAGAGATAGGTTTTGTTATACAAACTGTAATGTGTTTGTGTTTGTTTGTGTGTGTGTTTGTGTCAACCATTTTCGTTTTTGTTTACATGGAGGTCAAAATGTTGAACGCATCGCTCGTTTGAACCGTTGTTTCCAATTTAACATCTTTTCCATCTTTCACGTGACTCCGTTTCCTCGTCATTATGACTTCGACGTCGGGATGTTTTAAACGCATGTGACGAGTTCTGTGAGCCACGCGACTGAAAACGGCGTTACAAACGGGACAAACGGTTTTACCCTTGTGCACGCTGTGGTGTTTGTACAAAGAATCCAACCTTTTGAAAGACGCATCACAAAATTTGCAACTGAATTTCGGCACTTCACCGATAATTATCTCATTGTTTTCGTTCACGGCTTCCGCGTATATGTATTTCACTTCGGGCGAATACGTAAACGTTTCCTGTCCGACCGTGAGCACATCCGGCAATTCGATTTCTTCTTCTTCGACTTCCGCGATCGTTTCTTCTTCCACGGCGGCATCATGCTGTTGTTCTTGTTCCTGTTCTTGTTCGTCTTCCGCCACTTGTATTTCGTCTCCTTCTTCCAAATATTCCGGTTCTCCTATGTTTTCGTCAATTACGATAAATTCCGACGTTCCTTCTATTTCCGTTTCACCCTCGCTCCTTATTTCCTCTTCTAAATACTCTTCTTCCATTTCACCAAATATCGAGTCTGTAATAAAAACATTTAAATAAAATTGTTTTTTCAAATCAATCGAAAAAAAAAAAAAAAGAAAAACGAATTCATCTTTTTTTTTTTTTTTTTTTTTTTTTTTTTTTTTACAACGAATAGAAAATGAAAATTTTTTTTTTTTTTTTTTTTGTTTTTACAAAAGAAAACCCTTTTATAAATATTAATACATACTTAATAATAATAATAATTATTATTATTATCTCATTATAATATACAACGAATAAGCATTAAATTTTACAAAAGCAAATATAATTTATGTATATAAATATATTTATATATAAATTACATTCCCTCCAAAAAAAAAAATAAAAAAAATACCTCAGTTTTTTTACCCCTCCCCCTTTTCTTTTCAAATTCGTTATTATCCCATTATTAATATTATTATTATTATTATTTTCCAAACGAACAAAAAAAAAAAAAAAAAAAAAAAAAACGAATTAAAAAAATAAAAAATAAAGAAGTAATAAACCGAAAGCATGCAAAATGTGTCAAATTTTTTTACATTACCTGGTTAACAAAAAAAATTATTATTATTATTATTATTATTATTATCATTTAATTAAAAAATTAAACGTGTAAGCTAAACGAACGCAATCTAAAAAAATAAATAAAAAAATAAAAAAACAAAAAATTAATTTTTCTAAAATAATAGGCACACATACAAACATCATGCAATGATTTTTCGCTCGTGAAATATTGAAAAAAAACTTAAAATAATAATAATAATAGCAGTAATAATGATAATAAACGATTAAAACGACATTAATAATAATAATAATGACCTAACAATTCGATTGGAAAAAAATAAAACAGATAAATTTTTCTCTTTTTTTCTGTTTTTTTGTTTTTAAATTTTCCTAAAACTAATTTTTATATGACACTAACTGATAATATTAAAAATAATAATAATAATAATAATAATAATAATAAAAACAATCAATCAATCAATCAAATTAATAATCGAAAAAATCATAAAAACAAAAAAAAAAAATAAAAATTTAAAAAAATTAAATTTTTTATATTTAAATTAATAATTGAAAAATATACAAAAAAAAAAGTGAAAAAAATAATTAACAAACATCAATTTTGTTTTTTTTTGTTTAAATAATAATAATAATAAAATCAATTACTACACTTAATTAATTAAATATTCCAGAAAGGTTTTAAAAGGTACATAATGAAACAAACAACTAACTCATCCTTTTTCAAATAATTTAAAAAAAAAAAATACATTTTATTTTGGAACTTTCTTCATCTTCTTTTCTTTTAAATAATAATAATAATAATTAATGAATTAGAGAGAGAGAGAGAGAGAGAGAGAGAATAGATGGACATCAAACAAATTATAACATTCATTTTTATGAGTTTAAAAAAAAAAAAAAAATTAAAATACTGTACATGGTAATAATAATATAAATCATAGTCCGGCATTTTATGCTAAATGAAAAAATGGCAAGGTAAAAAGAAAATAATTTTTTTTGTGTTTTTCCTACTCCCCTACCATTTTATTACTTTTTACTTAGTCTGATATTTCGCAACTCGCCCCCCCCTCCCCCATCCGACGGCCCAACTTTAATTTCACTCCATACGAATCCCCCCGTGGGATTTTCTTTAATTCTACTCTCTCTCTCTCTCGTACTTGTTTTCACTAACGCAATCCCAATGGGAAATCCCTTTCGTTTCAAACGCAATATGATTCGGAGGTTTTAACCAACGAAAACACAGGGACACGCACACGCACACACGCACTCACACACAACTTGTTTCTTATTATAAAACCTTTTAAACGAAACAAAAAAAGTAAAACAAAGCAAAAATGCCAACTATTCGTCGTCAGTAACGACTTTTCAATAATTTTCAAATCTGCATGGAAATATTTATTGGGGGAAAAAAAACTTATAATAATAATAATATTAATAATAATAATAATAATAATAATAATAATAATAACAATGATAATGATAATAACAATAACGAATCTACGAATTAAAGCTAATTAAGAGTTTGTGGCAAGGAAACTACGAAAACTTTTTCGCAATACAAAATAAGGCCCGTACAAAAATTTAAATACCTCGTGACGTCACGTAAGTCAACAAACACAAAAACAAACAAAATTTAATTTTTTAAAATTTTCCCCTCCCGTAAGTTATTTTTAAGTAACAAATTATTAACAAATAAATTTTCTAATTTTATAATCACAGTTTTGAGTCGCGCACATACACACACACACACACGCACGCATACACGCAGAAAAAAAAAATGTGACATACTTGTTACTGCATACGACTTGAGAAGAAAAACAAACAAACAATTAAACGAACAAACAAACAAATATTTTTTTTTATGAGATGAGCCAGACGATTTATTAAATAGTAATATGATTAGTAATAATAATAATAATAATAATAATAATAATAATAATAATAATAATAATAATAATAATAATAATAATAAAGAAATTGCACGACAATAATTTTTACAGAAACTGGAATTTTTTTTTTTTTTTCTTGCGAAACAACACATCATACAAAAAAAAAACAAAACAAAACAATACTGAATGTGACGTTAATAGTAACTTAATATTAAAAACTAAAAAATTTATCACAATTTATTATTATTGGAATTAATATTAATTATTAATTTTTTTTTTTTTTTTTCTAATTTGAGGCACTTTCGAGAGCTAACGATATGTTTGCCCTTTTTATTAAATTAAATTAAATTAAAATTTAGGCACCTTTTTTTAACGGTTTTCTCTGTTTTCAACAAAGCGAGTCAAGTACTATTAAAAGAAAAATTTCGCATAAGAATCGCATTGTTTAAAAAGAAAAACGATTTTTCATGAATGAAACTTGTTGTTTTTGTTTCGAAACAAAAAAAAAAAACAACCCTTTGGCCAAATCTCAATCGTTTTTCAAAGGAAGGAGGGGGTGGAGGGGGAGAGAGAGAAAACGACCCGATAAAAAACAACCAAGAGATGAGACAGAAAAAAAAAAAGCTCAAACAATGCACCCACCAAACGCATCATGAATCGAATAATAATAGAGAGCAAGGAAAATCTGAAAAATGAAAACTAAAATAAATAAATAAATAATAATAATAATAATAATAATGATGATGAAGAACATAATCTTTTACGCCCGAGTGCGGCGATGTTCTTATGCATGAGAAAAAAACAAAGGCAAGCTTTGGATCAAAAATTTATTAAGTAAGTACTAGGACACGTTGAAAACCGTCTCAAATTCCCTACATTGGAAAACTGCACCCCTCCCCCACACCCACACCCACACTCCCCCTTCCTTTATTATTGTCCAAATGGTAAAACTTTTCCTTTTTCCTTTCTCCTTTTTCTTTTTTCCTTCCCTCGATCCTCTAAATATTACGGAATGAAACAAAAACAACGCGTGATTCGGAGGGGGAAGGAAGGGGAGAAGGCGAGAGGGAAAAAAGGCGGCGGACCCTCCTTCCCCCCCTTTCAGAATTTAATTATATTATGCCTCTTCCTCATATGAACTTTCAATTCGTATTTTCTGCTAAGGACATTGTGGCAGATCGGACATTCTGTACTTCCTTCGTGCGATTTGTAATGCTGACGACGTGAATCCCTATGTTTGAAAGTTTTTCCACATATTTCGCATACCCATATGAGGGCCGGCTGGTTCGTCGACTTCAATTTTTCTTCTTTTATATTTTCCGATATGCTACCTGGAAATTGTAGTCATTTTTCATTTTCCTTTTTCTCTCATAATAAATTTATTTTTTTTTACTTTATTTTATTTTTTATTTTTATTTTTCCAGGCAATATACCTTTAACACAATGAATGACTTTTCCTCGATTTTTATCATAAATGCCTACCTACATCTACCTATCTATCTATCTATCTATCTATCTATCATTATTATTTTTTTTTGAGGGGGAGATACCATTCTCATTATTTTAATTTTAATTTTAAGGGGGGAGGGTGCGGATTTTCTCGTGATGACCATTATAGCTTACTACTCATCTCCTGAAAATTATCATCAAATGGAACACAGCCAAGAATCTGTTAAGCTAAGCGTCATAGAATAAAATAAATAAATAAATAAATAATAATAATAATGAGTGTTTGTTACGGTAAAGTGATATATGCCAAACCAACAAAGCATGCTCCAAAAATTTAAAAAAAAAAAAAAAAAAAAATCTGCTGCAAAAATTATGTGATAAAAAATAAATAAATTGATATCTACTCCCCCCCCCTACTTCGTATGTGATACGCGACAGCAGACTATCTGTAAATAATACTTACCAACACAACAAAACAAAACAAAACAATAACAACAACAACAACAAATAATGAGAGAAAAAAAAAAAAATAATAATAATAATAACAACAAATTTTTCATCATGGAACGATACTTTTTTTATTTACCTTACCGCATATGTAAAAATAATAATAATAATAATAATAATAACCGTTTAAAACACTTTTTCTGACCGCTCATCACCCGTTTTTTAATTTTTTTTTTTGATTATGTACATTTGATAACCAAATAAACCCATTTTCAATATTATTATTATTTAAATTAATACATTTTTTTTTTTTTTTTTTTAAATAAAATTACAATCTACAATATCTACAATAATGATAATTTTTTTTTAAAAAAAAAAAACCGCACAAAAGAAAAATAATAATAATTATTATTATTCAATAATAATAATAATAATAATAAATAAATAAATAAAAAACCACAGTTTAAAAAAGAAGCAATTTTTTTTTTTTTTTTTTTTTTTCCATTTAAAAAAAAAAAAGCATCCATCACCAAAATAATTTACGACAGATATGAAAACAAGAATTTTCTTTTTTTTTTTTCTTTGGAAAATTATTACCAAAAAAAAAAAAAAACATTTCAAGAGCATTTTTTTTTTTTTTTTTTTTTGCTTTAAAGTAAAATTTTTCATTTATAATAATTTTCTTTTTTTTTAAAGGGATAGTTTACCAAAGGGTTTTGCTACCATCAAACACGTTCAAGATTCTCCAGTTTTTCAATATTTATTAATGCCATATTTTAAACAATATAAAAACGAAACCATTTTTTTTTTATCGTTACAATATTCAATATATATATATATATATATATATATAGAAAAAAAAAAATGATTTCAATTTAATACACATGAACTCATGTATAATATATATTAAACATAATTTTTAAAAAAATTGAAACGAGAAAAACCAAATTTAAAAAACTTTTTCCTTTTTTTCCTTTTGCTATTTTAAAATTCTATGCATTTTATTTTTTTGAACAACTGGAGAATCTTATAAAAAAAAGAGTGAAAATGTTAATAATTTCTGAACAATTTTTTACAATTCTCTGTCCAAAATTAAAATTTGTTAATAATCGCAGATTGTGCACCATATTTAAGCCGATATGTAAGCAATTAAGCAATATTTTTTATTATTATTATTATTATTATTAATCTAGCACATATTATGCAATGGAGTTTCATGAATTTTTATGTGATTATGGGGAGACAGAGAGAGAGAGAGAGAAAAAGGAAAGGAATATGGGGGAGGTGGGAAAAAAAAAATAACTTATTTGCCTATAAAGAAAAATCCGAAAAAAAAAAAAATTTTTCTTTTCTTTTTATACAAAATTTATACCTGGATATCAAGGGGGCGGGGCGGGGCGGGGGGAAATCGTATTCGATTTATTGACAAAAACAACAAAAAAAAAAATTTATATGTATCAGTCACAAGAAAGCACGATGATAATAAAAAAAAAAACAATAAATACATAAAGTAAAAAAAATAAATAAATAAATAAAAAGTAAGAATAAATATGCTGCCAGCGTCGTTTTGAAACCCAAAAATGAAATTTCCAGTTTCTAAAACTGAAAACTTGAACCTAAATGGTTTAGTACAGTACATTTGCTACCCCTTCGAGAATTAAATAAGGGTGACATGATGTTCGCCAAAGAAAAAAATTTTTTTTTAGGATTTCGAATGTGCGCATGTATCATGTGTATATACATTTTCGTTTTAAACGAATGTTTTTCTGTCTGTCTCTCTCTCTCTCTCTCGGGAATTGGAAATTTTCGCACTCCCTCGGGAATCCCTCATTTTCCAAACTCGATAATTATATTAATCCATAACCGTCCAAAACTCAATTTTCATTATTTTTCCCTTTTTTTTTTTTTGACTTTATATATTTACATTTATGCAAATCTCAAAAACTAACTAACTAACTAGTAGTAGTTTGTTCAAAAGTAAGTAAGGATTTTAATAAAAACATTTATAAATAACTACCACTGGACTATTCTAAAACCTTTTTCCCATTTTCCTTTTGAATTAGAAAAAAAAATAAATAAATAAAAAAAAAAAATTGAGTGAAAAGAACCGGGTAGTGAACCTTAGACAAACAAATTCAAATTAATTCCAAATGAAAAAAAAAAAGAAAAAATAGAAAAAAAAGGTTTTAACAATTTCAAACCTTTTTTTCCCCTCCTCCCACCCTTTTCTATTCATGAGGGGTTTACGCCCGGTCATTTTTATTTTTAATTTGGGTCTTTTTTTTTTGGGTAAAAATTTTGAGTTCTCCTCCTATAATAACATTTTTAGTATTTTTGTGTTTAAATGAAAAATCGTAAGTAATGGCGACTCATCATCACACACAAGTGAAAATATTTTAACAATAAAATATAAAAGACCTTCGCGGAAAACGTTTCGTTTAAAGTTATAAAAGCAACCAGTTGACCAACCTTACGATATACGTTATTATGTACCTAAATGTCAAGTTCACGGTCAACAAATATATATATATATTAAATCCGGTATCAACTTCCAAATCAATTTGCCGAATATAAAAAAAAAGCATTCATTGTAAAATTCTCGACATTTTGATTATTTAAATTTTCATTAGAAAATAATAATAATAATAAAATAAACGCGTGAAAATTTTCCAATTTAAAACAGTCGAAAAAAAAAAAAAATATCATCATCATCAAAAGAAAGAAAAAATTTTTTTTTTTTTTTGTGAAGTTTCAATAAAAATTTTTTTTTGCCAATATCAGCTGTCGACCTGAAGGGTTGTCGTTAAATTTTTTTTTTTTTTTTTTTGTCTTCTACCTGATTATTTTAGCCTAATGGAATCTTGAAAAAAAAAAAAAACCCCCGAGGACATTTTTTTTTTTTTTTTTTTTCAAAAACCTGTTTTCAAACTCCTTTCGATCGCAAGATGTGAATTTACAACGCCTATTATTATTATTATCATTATTATTATTATTATTTCCTCGACCCGTACCACGGATTTATAAAGAACAAAGAATTTGGCAATAATTTTTTTTTTTCAAACTAAATTTTTCTTTTTCGTTTTGAGGCGTAGGTTAACAAACAATTCATTTTCTCGTTTGCTAACAATAGAGGAGGAGAAACAACAAAATTTTTTACACCACTACAAAATGTTGAAAATGGATGAAAAAAAAGAAAATGGAAAAAACATTTTCAAAGTTGAAAATTTACCACGAACGAGAAGACAACAAACGAAATCTAAGGGTTATAAATTTTTTTTTTTTTTTTTTTTTTTACGAAGTGGATTTTGCAATAAAAATGAAACCATAAGTTTTTTTTTCTTTTTCGCATACAATTTTATGAGCCCGATTAATCCCCAAAGAAATTTCTTTACTGTCCCTCCCTACCTCCCTCCCTTCCTTCCTGCTTTCCCCTCACGAAAATTTTTTTTTTGAGAGAGAGAGAGAGCTAACTAAAATCAGACATTTTGTTTTTTTTTTTACAATTGCTGGCAGCATATATATATAAAATACCAAACACAACCAGTGCAATCACGCCATTAATAATTTTCCTAATTTTAAAAAGGATGAAAAGTTTCCTGACTAAATTCAGGTTCTTAGTGGTTTTCGGATGGCAAGTTTTAAAACGAAATATATATATATTATTTTGGGTAACTACAATTAGAATAGCTATAGCTTTCAAAGTAATTTCAAAAAAACTCCGATTCGTGCTCAAGAGACGAGTAAACAGACAATACCATCAAGGAAAAATCACTCCCGTGGGATGAATAAAGACGGAAAATTTCAGATGAAATTTCTATTGTGCCATAACAAATTCATTCGGGATATTTTTGATAGCGTTTTTCCCCGTACGCGCAAAATTTTTTGGACTTTTTTTATCCTTTCTTTCTACGAGCTGTGCCGGGGGGGGGGGGGTTTACTATTCTTATAACTTCCATGGAGGAATAATTTAATAACAAATTTTTACTTTTTCGTGAAAGCGTGAAAGCACTGGCAGTTTTTTTTAAATAAAATAAAATAAAAACAAAAAAAAAAAAAAAAGGAAAAGAAAATGTATGAAATTTTTTTTATTATCACTCACCCTGCAACGTGTCGACATTTCCTGATGTTCCCGGTTTTAACAAGGATTGATCTGATACTGGATTTATACCTTTGTCTGAAATGAATAATGAAACTGTTAAAAATATAATTTAAACAACATTGTTTTATTATTATTAATTTCTTTTCAGTAATATATTTTTTGTATAAAAAAAAAAAAAAAAAATGAAATTCTTATGGTTTTCTTTTTTTTTTAAATAGAACAAAATAAGTTTTTAAATAAAATTTATAGAAAGTTATACAAAACAAAAACAAAAAAAAGTCAAAATCACAACTTTAAATAATATCCTGAAAGAAATAAAAAACAAAATAAAATAAACAGTGCATTTAATATTTTTTAATTGAAAAATAAAAACTGAAAAAGAAAAGGTTTCGTCAGGTAAATCGATAAATTATTTCTCATTCGATTATTTATGCTTACCTATTTCAGATGCTGGCACACCTTCAGTTTTTATGGCTGGATATGGTGAATCTCTAGAATTTGTACTAAAAAGTTCAACACTTTCTTTTTCTGTATTTTTTTCTAAAAGCTGACTAACATCAATCATTCCACTTTCTTGCTCACTGTAATTACTATCATTGTCATCAAAATCGTTCACTTCAACTTTAGGTACTAATGGAGTGTTATAAGAGTCCAAATCTTCCTTAACTGACTTTTTTTTTATTTGCTTAGAATCACTTTCTACACTACTGTCTTTGTTAGAAATACTGTTCACAACCTTAGAAGGACTGAATTTTCTTTTTCTATTCGAGGTAGGAGTATTGGGTCTATTCAATGAAGATTGACTACAAAAAGGATTGGAATAATGAGGAATGTTTGTTTTCGTTGAATTCTTTTGTAAGTGATTTTGCCTGTTATTTAAATTAGAATCTTGTACTGATCCAAGAAGTGATGACTCAAGAAGAGATGGCTGTCTACGACGATTCTGAAATTTAAAAAAATTTAAAGATGAAGTAGAAATTATTTCTTCTTTTACCTTAATATTTATCATTAACTAAAATTATTTACTTTAAGTAAAATGTTAAATATTTGATTTTGTTTAACTATTAATCAGTAATTAATGTTAAAAATTTTCAAATTCGAATAATAAATAACTGACTTTTTGAAAAAATTAGTAGTATAATTCAAAAAAAAAAAAACTTACATCATCTTTATAATTATCCTTGGTTGGCCCAGAACCATCAGTTAAACCTTGTACTGCCAACATTTCAGCAGTGGTAAGAAAAGAAGTTAATTGTTCTTGTTCAACATTAACCTCACCATGATACATAAAATCAACAATAGCTGCTAAATCTTCGAATTTGACGTTTCGAAATATAATCACAGGATGCTTACACGGATTTTCCTGAAAATTATTCATTAAATAAAGTAAGAAAAATTAAACAAAAAAGTAAATATTTACGTAATAAAAAAGTTTGTAAATGTTTACAATGCCTACCGCTTACCTTAAATACATTTTTAAAGTAAGTACTACATGCCGACAATAGCATTTTATGAGCCAATATTTTTCTACCCTCGCAACTAAGAGTCACATCCACTAAATCTTCATCGCTTCTAAGATTATCAAAAGCACAAGTTATATGTTGAACGTAATTGTTCCACCGCAGTGAAAATTGCTGGTTTGTTTCCATTTTCAGGTACACGATGAAAAATTTATTTGCATAAAGACGTAATAGTAGCGTGTTCGATATAAGAACCTGGCTTTTTTTTTATTAAGCCATGGTCACTGGCGTGTCTTCAAGTACCGTAACTGGAATGAGGACTTCAGGGCGTTCACCCGTTCACGAAGAAGTCAAAGCCAAGCCTAAACAAGATTCTTTCCCGTCTCAGTACGAAAGAGAACCAACTGTTACAATGAAAATATTGATTACTTTTCTCGGTCTAAATAAAGCGGTAAACCCCCTTGAGGCGGCGTTACGTTCGAATTAAATAATACTTTTATTTTTAATAATAATAATTTTTTTTAAATAATAACTGACCTTCATCACAAATTTTTACTTAATGAAAATCTCAACTAAATTTTTATTAAACAAATATCTACTCTACGTAAAAGCTGAGAGCGCAGCACGACGCTTCTTTTCCAAAGAAAACAGTAGGAACGTAAAACGAAATTCCAGAATGCAGTGATATATTGACTTATAGCAAAACAACTGTGCGAAAGCAAAAGCTTTAATTTTGCCATTATTTAAAATAATACTCACTACTCACATTAAATTTATTACCCTTGTTTCAAATTCAGCGGTTTCTCGCTGGTAAAATACCTTTTTTTTTTTTTTTTTTTTTAAAACTTTACGTATCTTTCTATTTTAAAATTAAATAATCAGTTATTTCATATTTAAAAAACTAATATTAAGTAATATTTTTGAAAGATATATCAATAAATGTCCTTAGGTTGTAAATTTATTCTTTTTAATAAATGACTTATTTTAAAACACTTATAATAATAATTATTATTATATGAATAATAATAATAATAATAACTTAATAAATAATTGTGTAATATGAATTTTAATTTAAAATATTGACATTTTCAGAAAATATTTTTTGTTGTATCATTTTGTAGACAATAAGTAAAACACTGTGATGATAATGTAAGTATACATTAAAGTGAATTACATTAATATTTTAAATATAATAAGTGCATTAATAATTTTTTTTTTTTTTTAGAGATACAGCAATTAGAGAACAACCTAATATTGTTCAAAGACAAATGATGTCTAGCGGGGAATTGGATAGGTAAAAAATATTAATAAAAAAAAATGTCTAATCATATTTATCTTAAAAAATATAATTTGTTTGGTATTAATTTTTCTTTTTAAGAATGAGAGAACTTCTTAGAATTAGATTATCAGAATGTGGATGGAGAGATGAAATGGTTCTTTTGTGTAGAAAAGTAATCGCTGAAAGCGATGTTAACAATTTAACAGTTGATGATATATTAGACAAAATAACGCCTCAAGGAAGAGGTAAAAATATATTATAAATTATCAGAATCTTTAAAATTTTTAATTTTTTAATAATAATAATAATAATATTATTATTATCACAGCTCTTGTGCCTGATGCAGTTAAGAAAGAACTTCTTCAAAAAATAAAAACATACTTAATGGAAGAAGCAAATTTAATTCCGACTAGTTCTGGTAAACGTACGACCAGGCATCGAACTTGAAATTAAATATTTTTTAATAAACCTAATGAGAAGTTTCGATAATTTTTTTCATAATTTCATTAAATCTATTAAAAATTTTTACTTTTATCTCATCTGATAAAATATCTAAAAAAAAAAAAAAAAAAAAAAAATTAGGTATAAAATAAATTTTAAAAATATGTAACATCACCATATTTATAATAAAATAAAATAAAAAAAAAATAATTTTATCAATATTATTTACCATCTTCCATATCAATAATTTTTTTCCACAACATTTCATCAGTTGGTTTATTCCCATATTCTAATATTTGCAAAAATTTTTTTTGAAAAACTTCATCTGTTTCGATAACTTCTAAAAATGCATTTTTGAATCTTTAAAACAAATGAAAAATATTTGTAATTATGGATTATTATAGGATTAATCAAATACATTATTATTATTATTAATAAATAATTTATATGATTAGTAAAAAATCAAAGGATTAGTAAAATCCGATTAAAACTTACTGTCCAATTAATTTAGTTTCTGTAAAATATGATATCATATTTTTCACAAATTTTTCATCTCCTTCCTAAAAATAAAATTTAAAATAAAATTCTTACCTGCCTTACAAAAATTTTATATAATTAAAATAAATAAAATGAAATAAGAAATTAAAACTTGATCAATGATTAAAAAAAAAAAAAAGTTAAAAATGTTAGCAAAAATGATTAATCATAAAAGTTAATATATAATTATTATTTAAAAATAAAAAATTAAAACATTTAAATTTAATATACAAAAAAAAAAAAAAGTAATTTTAATTACAGTCATTTGTTTTTATTTTGTTTTTTATCAATAAAATATATCAATAACTTAAATATTTTTTATTTTTTTTTTTTATTGTGAGACTTGCCATAGTGGGTATTGCGATTGTTTATCTGATTTGTATTTTATTTGACCTTGAAACGTCGTCGTTTTTTTCCCGCCAAACTTGTTTGGCAAAAAATTTATTTATAATGTTGTAGTCATTACAATTTGAAATTTTAAAAAAAAAATAAATAAATAAAAAAAAAACCAACGGATATTTTTATTTGTAAAGATAATAACAAAATAAATTTTAATTTTGTATTTTTTTTTTGACAATATTTTGTAATCAATGACTTTTTTAATATGACTTATTTATTTAACACATAACCATAAAAAATAAAAATTAAATCCATAATCTTTTTCCATGATGATGATGATAATTATTATTTACAAACAAATTTATATATATATATATATATAAGGCATAAAAAGGTTATTTTTTTTTTAAATTAAAAATAAATATATATAAACTAACAAACAGAAATAAAATAATTAGTTTTTTAATATCACATTTAAGTTTCTCTATTACTTTAATTACTATCACAATAAAGTTTTACTTAAAGTAAATATATTTAAATACATTAGCACCATATATAAAATTAATTTTTATTTATTTAAATATCAAGATGATATTATAATCATTTTATCTTCTCCCGTAACGAGAAATTTTCCATTTTGGGAAACGGTTATGCAATGTATATTATTTCCTTTGCATTCTATTTCTTTTATTAATTTTACTTCGACGAGATCCCATAGGAAAACAATTCCAGAATTCGAGCCTAATAACAATGATAAACCATTCCACGCCAAACATCTGTCGAATTAAAAGAAAATGAAAAAATATTATTAATTTTCAATCGGTATTTTTCTTTTTTTTTTAATTTACGCCATCTTTTACTCACGTGAGTTGTGCTTTTAATGATTTCGAATAAACTTCCATTCCGGTTAAAAGATCGTAAACTTTAAAACAACCATCCCATCCGCAGGAAACTAATTTTCCATTTTCGGGACTAAAACTAATTCCGTGAACGGGACCGTTATGAGCCGTTCGTTTGAATACTTTATTCTTATTCGTGACGTCAATCACTATTATTTCACCATCTTCTGTTCCGCTCCCTATCAAACTATTATCTCTGAAAAAAAAAAAAAAAAAAAAAAACAATGGAGTTTTAAAAGTTTCCAATTTTACTCACGTATTATTATTATGCATCAATTTTTTTACCCGTTAATAACCGAACAAGTAATTCGAGAATCCAAATCGAATCTCAAAGCGGAAGTGATTTTCAACCTGTGCCATTTATCATCTTGATAAATGTTAAACCATATTTTCAGTGTGCAATCCCTGGATGACGAAACCAAACACCGTGAAACGGATCCCCAACAAATACTAGTCACCGTATCCTCGTGAGCAATTATCGAATCGATAAGCTTGTTAAACATTATGTCGTAAACTAAACTGCAAAAATAATTATAAATCGATCACTTTTTTGATATGTGTCGATTTCTTAAAATGATTCAAAAACGTTTAAAAAAAACCAGGTCCGTTATTACAAACATTTGATCATCGTACGTTCCGGCCACTATCAAATTATCGTCCGGTAATAAAATACAACAGGAAATCCCGACATTATTCAAATTAAAACTTCTTATTTGTTTTTCCGTTTCAGCCGCAAACATTCGAATGGTTGAATCTTTGCTGCTGGACAGAATAAATTTATTGTTGCTAGAAATGGCTACGGATGTAACGACATCTTTATGATATCCTATTATTGTCGACCTACTCAAATTCAATATGGCGTCTTTGATGGGCTTTTCTGTATTTTCAGAACCTGAAAAGATAAATATCAAACTTTCAAAATTATAAAAATGTTTCAATTAAATAATAGCAAGGTATTCAATACTAACTCGTCTCTTCCAAAACCGAATTCCCGATTCTGCTCTGCGGATTTAAAAGTGGTAATCGGGGAGGATGTGGAACCTTAAAAATTTGTTTTGGAACTTGTCCGAATTCCATTATCTGAACCTCCAAAGCGTGCCTTTCGTTATAATCTTTCACCAAATCTATGTCCACCGCTCCTTCATAGCACAAATAATAATAAACTGAAAAAGAAAAATTACTTGGATTACAAGGTAAAAAAAATTATAAATAATATTCTTCCTAAAAAAATTAATAATAATATTATTCTTTTACTCTTTTAACTTACTGTTGTTTGCTTTCTTAGCTTCTTCTCCTCTCTGTTTATAACCAAATATTAAATCGATCCAATGATGTATATTAGAAGACACATATTCACTTTCTAAAGCCTCTCTCAACTTCGATACAAAATCAGCTGGATTTTCTGCCCAAGGTGGAAGAGAAACGTCGTGAACTTTGGATCCGTTACATCTGTACCCGAAATTAATTCCATACGTATTTAAAAGAAAATCACCAGATTGGGATACGTCGTAAAATTCAGGTATGAGTTCTTTAAAATCAGACATGTTGTTAATGACGTTACGCCAAACATCTGCAATGCTGAAAAAAAAAAAAAAAAAAAAGACTTATTTTTCACACAAACACAAAATGTATGGAGAGATTATCCGATAAATTTTTTTACTTACCTGTTAAACATTCTATCGGGATGATCAAACCTTCCATTTTGAAGACAAAGCATATAGTGTGGATACTTTCTGACTAAGTAAAAAATTACAAATCCTGGAGCTGAATAATGTGAGCCATATAAAAATTTCGGTTCTGGCATTTCCAACGTTCTTTCTTTTAATCTTTCTAACCTTTCTTCGTTCAATGCCCCGATGGGTTTGGTTAAATCCCTGTAGGATTTAGAGTCCTTCAAGTCAAGTGTTTTTGAAATATAATTAGACAATACCCATGGAAACACTGGATATTGGGTCAAATCATTGAAACTTCTATCAGCCAAACTGAAATAATTTTCGTTAATATTATACAATTTCGATTTAAAGTTTTCCCCAACTGTTTTTTTAGGATTATTTTTATTAATATTTAAATGAATGTATGTAAGAATCGAAAAACAAAATCACCTGTTAAGATACAATAAATATTCATAATTAGAAATGGCTCTGTTTTGCCATTTTAATGTTATAATCTCTGGTTCAACTGAGGTGAGCGTAAGATTAGGTTGCTGTAAAATCGATTCATAAAATTTATCTCTAACTTCTTTAGATTTCATGGCAACATAAAAATGACTTGTCTCACTTTTACTGCAACATTTATAAAAAATTTCTATGCCAACTTGTTTCAATAAAAACCTTCTACAAATTATCCTTGTAATATTTTTTAAATCTATTTTCAAAACGGAGTGCTAAAAAAATAAAATCGAAACAAAAAAAAAAATTACCGTAAATAAATAATAAATAATTTTCAAATTGAAACAATTAAATATAAACAAAAACATACTGATTCAATATTATTATAGGGTTGAAAATAAATCCTTGAGCAAGTTAAAACGATTCTACCTGGATTTACAACCAAAGGAGATATTTTGTTAGCTTGAGTTTCACAAATAACTTTTTCATATATGTCTTCTAGCCATTTTGCATCAAAACTAACTCTTGATTGTCTAGAATACACTATAGCAGCTATCTATACAAAAAAAAAAAAATTCACAATTTAACTAATAAATACACAATTGAATTACATAATCAAAAATATTACACCACTGAAATCATTGAAATTTTTACAATATTAATTCATACCATACTACTTTGTTCATGAGGAGGCAAAGTGGAAGCCCTATATAACTGTAAAATATGTGATAAACAGTCATCAACCTTAGCATAATTTAGAAGAAATAAAAATAATGTTTTTTCTTGCTTGAATTTATATGCAGCAATAACATTTTCTTCAAGCATTTCAACATAATTTGAACATTCGATTTGAATGACATTGTCTTCTTCTGATGCCCATGGTCTTTTCCCTCTTTTTATTCCAATACAATTTTGTAAAGGAATTTTAATAATGGGTTTATTAAAGTCCTGAGGATCGAATACCAGGGATTTCGAACAAAGTTTAATTCGACCCAATTGTCGACTGGTTTCAAAATTTTCACGATTTACTTGATTGGGAAAAAGAGAAGCACTATAGTCTTCAAAATAAATTTCCCCTGGTTCCAATAGCAAAAGAGAGAACCTGCAAAAAGTTTAATTTTGAAAAGAAATAAAAGGAAATAATTTTTTTTCCGAAAATAATTAATAATATAAAAATGCATTTACCTTGTCTTCTCCATTACTTTATTTGTCACATTTTTATTGCACTAAATCACTTTTTCAAAGCTTTAATAAAAAATTGTTATAATTACTTATAAAAAATCAAAAAATATCTTGTACTCAACCATGTGAAAATGACAAACATTAAATTGAAAACAATCCGCTGAAGTGGAATGAGAAATTAAACCGTCACCGCCTTTTTTGAAGTTGGCACCAGCTTAGTCTAACCTACAAGTATGTTTAAGTGCTTTAGATGTAGTCCCGCTAAAAATTTTTAAGTCTATTTTTTAATATTCTTGTGTTTTTTTTTTTTTGTATTATATATTTTCAATATTTTTTTCTTAGTAAACCTATTATTAGTTACATTTATATTAAAAACTAAACTGAAATATAATTGAGTAAAATCGTTGAAAAATGCGTGCCGGTTAAACAGAGTAAAACATAACCGATAAGTAGATTCAAGAAATTATGAAAATTTGTCAATTAAATTGAGTTTTTTTTAATTGTTACTATGGCAGACGCAATGGATTTTGATGATCTTCTTAATGCTGCTGAGCTTTTAGCTGCAGACACCGATGGAAGCGGCGATTTACCCAAATGGAATCGAACCATCCACCAACTTGCAGAAGCCGCGGAAGAAATGTGGACCAGACTTGGTTCAAAAGCAAGCGGCCAAGAAAATCAAGCGTAAGTAAAAATTTTTATATGTAGTTTAATTTGGGGATTATTTATCACTATGTTTTTACGTTACAGAAACGTTCTTCTTGCTCCCAAAGGAATAGATATTCCTCAAATGACAGAAAAATTACAGTCATTAAGTACAAGGAAAACATTCCAGCCATTAGAACCCATCGCTGACATAGATGTTAAGTCATTTTTAAAAAATGAATATGAAAATGGTATATTATCAGTAATAGCATTAAATCAGAAACAGAGTGCTCAAAATATTAGAAAAACCACTTGGAGTCATACGAAAAAAGTTTGGCAAACGGAAAAAAATAAAATAGCAAATGCAATGCTAGAGTCGAAAACAGCATATTTAGACTTTGCAGTGCCTCCAGAAGAAAGTTATGCTCAGGAAATCCCCTCTGCTAAGAGTATGCTATCAAATGAAGAAATGGCTTATGCTAAAGAAGTTTCAGAGTATAACAAAATTATAATGACTGGTTTGGTGCATCCTAATTTAATAAACAATTTTTATAGTATCAGTAAAGGATTTAATGATAAAGTTAGTATTTCTTTTATTAAAATTTAATTGCTTTTTTAAACACAGCTTTATTAAAAGTTAATTTAATTTTTTTTATTTAATTTAATTTATAGAAAGTCATTGAATTGTGGGAAATGGTTAAATATATGGCAGATGTACCTCCAAGACCAGTAGGAGATATAATCGAAGCGAGAACTTCACAGGCAGTACAAAATGTTCTTATATCTCAAGCAAAAAAATACTTGGAAGACAGGTAAATGAATAAATGTTCATTTGAAATTTTAATTTAAACTTATAATTTATTTTATATTGGTATATCATTATTATTATTATTATTATTACTAATTGCAGATATCGTGCCTTTATGACAAATGTAGTCAATAGTAATCTTAAAAAAGCCATGAGAGGAGGTGTTCCTGGAACATATCCTTTAGTAAGAAGTTTTGTAGCGATTCGAGTAGCTCCGGGTTTACCGCTCGAAGATGGTTGTATTGATGGCCAACCCGTATGGCCTTTAATATATTACTGTATACGTTGCGGAGACGTAAATGCAGCTCTTCACGTGGCCCGACAAGCAGAGTAAATATTTAAAAAAAAAAAAAAATTTAACGATTTTCCCGTAAAATTTTTTAAATTATTACAAATTTTTTTTTTTTTTTTTTTTTTTTTTAGATCTTCCCTTGCTGAATTTAGTCAGATTTTGGAAAAAATGACTGCCGGAAAGCTTAGTTCGAAAATGGAGCAAATGGTAAAAGCACAGTACAGAAGGTACATCAAAAACACATCTGATCCTTTCAAAAAAGCCGTGTATTGCGTCGTGGGATCGTGCGACGTGAATGACGAACACAAAGAAGTTGCTCAAACGGCTGATGATTATTTATGGTTTAAATTGTGTCAAATTAACGACGAAGACAATGCCGAAACCAAAGGAGAAAGAATGACTTATTCTCATTTGCAAAGCATAATACTTGAACAATACGGTAATTACTTTGCAAATATATTCTTTAAAATACTAGTAGATGATGTTTTTTTTTTTTTTTTTTTTTAATTAAAAATATAATTTTTAGGTGAAAGTCATTATAAAGCTTACGAGCAACCTCATATTTACTTTGAAATGTTAATATTAACGGGACAATTTGAAGCTGCCATCGAATTTTTGTACAGAGTTGGAAAATACAAAGTTCACGCTGTTCACATTGCAATAGCCTTACACGAATTGGGATTGTTGGCCGATCCTCCCAGTATTTGGGCGGCTCTAAGTGAGTCAAATCAACAGCATCAAATAATATCAAGACTTTTACCGTTTTTCTTATTTAAAAAAATTATTGATGTTGAAATTTTTCTCATTTTTTTTAAGTGAGCGTAAAAGAAGAAGATAAACCACCGGCGAGGAGATTGAATTTCGCGAGATTAATTACACTCTACGTACAATCTTTTCAAATATCAGATCCGAAAGAAGCGATTCATTATTTTTATTTTCTTAGGTAATTTTTTATTACAAAAAATTAAATAATAATATTACATTGTATAAAATGTAAATAAATTTCTTTATTGTTTCGATATTTTTCAGAAATATGCAAAATCATTTAGGAGAAAACATGTTTACATTGTGCGTGTCTGATTTGGTACAGGAAAGTCGAGATTTTGATTTGATACTGGGACGACTCGAAGCAGACGGATGCAGAACTCCCGGTTTGATAGATATGTTTAAGGGACTCAATCAATCTTCTGCTGATATTGTTCGTTACGTCGCGTCAGAATGCGAAAGAAAAGGAAATTTAGAAGATGCCGTCAATTTATACGATTTAGCCAGCGTAATATAAATATCCGCGATACGACTTTAATTTTTCTAATTTCATTTAATGACGTGATTGATTTGTAAATTTAAAAAAAAAAAAATTTATTTCATTGCAGGATCACGAAAAAGTACTTAGTATAATGAACATATTAATGACTCAAGTTTTAACGCAATCAAACAAACCGGGTTCTCTCAGATCTCGAATGCAAATATTAGCTCACATGATTTCAACAAGATACAGCGGTATAGATTACATGTGTTCGGCCGAAACAGCTTCCGTATTTTTCCTCCTGAGGGATTTGATGACTTTTTTCGATCAATATCACGCGGAAGACTACGTGGAAGCATTAAACGTAAAATGAATTTTTTTTGTCAATCTATGATCATTGAAAAAATTTCGTCGATGTGTAATTTATTGGATTTTTTTTTTTTTGTTTTTTAATAGACAATTACAAAATCGAAACTTTTGCCAATGTCGAGGGAAGAAGTGCCGGAAAGAGTTTTAAATTTTAAAAAACTCAACGATCAAATCAAACGACATTTCGCCGACATTATGTTGGTGACGATGAACATATTACAAATACAATATAATAAAGCGAGAGGCGGTGAAAGATCGTCACCGGGCGGAAGTAGATTCGATGAAACATCAAGAGAAAGGGTAAATATTACAAAAAAAAGATGGAAACTTTTTTTGAAAAGTGATGGAAAAGCCTAATTTTTTCTCCATTTTTCTTCCTTTTCCAGCAACAAATGCTTGCTTACATTAGAGATAAAGCTTCGGCCATAACAAACTTTGCAGGATCGATTCCTTACAGAATGAAAGGAGACACAAACAGTCGTTTGGTTCAAATGGAAATTTTGATGCATTAATAAGAAAGGCTTTTATAAAAAATTTTTGTTTTTTGGAAATTTAAATATTAAATCAGTAAAAAAGAAAAAATTGAATTTTACAATTTTATACTTTTTTTTTAAACAGAATTCTTCTAATAGATGAGAATGACGTAAACAAAAAATAAATTTTTAAGAATTGAAAGTATATGGGCGTGAATAACAAAATTATACACAATGCAATGAAAAATTAATAAAAATCATTTTATTAAAAATTACTACTACTATTTATAAAAAAAAAATACTTATGAAATAATGTTTTGTAAAAATACAATCAATCAATCACAGTGGAACAGATGATATATTGAAAGATTTGCTTAAATCTACAGTTTTGCCTTCTTTCATCTAAAAGAAAAGAAAAAAATTTTTTTTTTTTTTTTTAAATCGAAACTTGAAATAAAATATTTGTTTTATATGGGGAGACGAAAAGAAAATGACTTACCAATCGATAATCTATAAAAATTTCTTTAAATGCTTTAAAATCTGATAATGTGAGTAAAACTTCAAAAACTTCACCATCCAAATGTTCTTTTCTTTTTCTGAATAATAATAATAATAATAATAATAATAATAAATATTATTTATAATACTTGTGTATGTAAAAAGTATTTATAAATATCTTACTCGAGTTCTGCAGCGAATGCATTCATGTCGAAATTAATAATTCTTTCATTTAAATACAATGAAATAAAATTTTCGATTTCATTTGTCTGGGGAAAAAAGTAGAAAAAAATGTCAGGATGTAATAAATAATAGAATAATGGTAGGTAAGTACATTTTAAATCTTACATATTCAGTAAATATTGTCATGTAAATGTGTTTGTTCTCTTCATTTTCATCAAATTGATTCCAATATCTTTCTAAAAAGCCATTTTGAAGTTTAAAAAAATTTTCATCTGTAAAAAAATTATTTTAATTGAAAAAAAAAAATAAAATAAATGAAACAAAATAGTTACAATGAATTTTATTTACCTATTAACATGTCTTCCAAATGACCGACAACATTATCAAATGTAAAATCACTTTTTTCACCATCTAATTTTTTATTATTTATAATATTTGTGTCGTTTTCATCGTCACTGTAACCGTCATCGCAATATTCACCGGAAAATTGACCATCTCCACTACCTTTTAAACAAATAAAGTTTTCATAAACAATACAAGTCATAGGATAAATAAACAAAAAAAACTTTTGAAAAATAAATTTTATCTCTCTCTCTCTCTTTCTCTCTCTATGACGTTATGTTAAAAATTTATAGAAGTTAGATTTTAACAAAAAGTGTAAAGTTTTAGATTTTTATTTAAATATTGGTTTACACGCACGCACACACTTGAAAAAACGATGAGAATTTCATTTCGACATAATGGAAAAAGGTAATGATGAAATTTTTTAAATGAATATGTTTGAAATCGTTATAAATTCGGTTAAAATTTTGAAAACGAATCTTACGTCAAAATGGCGTCATGAATCAAAGTTTTTATTCGTAAAATATTATTACCTGAAACTCTCGCCATTGTAACATATATTATTAAACTATTGAAAATCCCCACAACCCGTTGTTAATTCATTTAAAACTCGTGTACGTAAATAACAAAATATCATAAAATATCTGTTTTCAATTCAAATTTGTTGTCACGGGCAACGTTTTTTTTTAGTTAAATATTTTTTATGTAGATGGCACTGCACTTAATTTTACTTTGGAAAAGGAGTAAGGAATTCAAATAATAAAAATAAATTTAAAATTATTTTAAAAAAAAAAATTTTATTGATAAATAAATTTATTTGATAACATTTAATCACATTTTTAAATAACTAAAAAATATATTACAATGAATATTATTCAACATATCTTTAATATCATTTAAAAAAAAAAAATAACAAAAAATTTAATTTATTTGTGTGGTAAATTTTTAAAGTTAAAATAATTATCTGGGAAAAATATTTAATAAGTAAATTGATGGCGTTTAAAAGTTAATTTAAATTCATAGAATTCAATAATTATCTTTATAATACCGTAAAATAATTAAAATGCTAGTAAATAACACAATCACATTAAAAAAAATTCATTTGGTTGCAATAATCTCTTATGAAAATTCAAACTTTTACAGTAGTTTAACAATTTTTTTTTTGGTTTCACCTAATGTATTTTATCTTTATTAGTCATTAAGGACATTAGAAAACACACACATACTCCTCTTTCACACACATACACACCTCTCTCTTCCTCACACACACACACACACACTCCTCTTTTACACACACACACACACACATCTCTCTTCTTCACACAATCCTCATTCAAACACATATACACCTCTTTCTCTCTCATACACACACATATACACACCTCTTTCTTCCTCATACATACACATCTCTCTCTTCCTCACACACACACACACACACACACACATCTCTCTTCTTCACACACTCCTCATTCAGACACATATACACCTCTCTCTTTCTCACATACATACACTCACACTCCTCTTTCACACACATACACACGCAAACTCCTCTTTTACACAAATACACATCTTTCTCTTTCTCACACACACACACACTTCTCTTTTACACATATACACTCTCCTCTTTTACACACACACACACACACACATACACACATCTCTCTCTTCCTCAAACATACTCATCTCTTTCTTCCTCACATACACATATCCCTCTCTCCCTGACACATGCATACACCTCTCTCTCTCTCTCTTTCTCTCACACACACACACACAAATAGGACAAAATAGAAAACAGGTTTCAGTTATATTTTAAACATTAGTAAAACTTTAAAAAATTTTTTTTTCATTTTAGTGTTCAAATAATAAATAAATTTTATATTTTGTAGAAATAATTATTAAACAAATTAAATAATAATAGTAATGGAAAAATGAAATGAAAGATTATAATTTAATATAATTTTGTAAAATTTTGAATTCATAACAAAAACGTGCACGCGCACGCATGCACACACACACACAGGTGATAATGGGTGACATTATTAAATTTATTTCAATACATAATCTTTTTACTTAAAACAAAGGGCGGATTTTTTAAAATTTTTTTGTTTCTTTTTTTTTTTTTTTAATAACAATTTACTCTTTTTTTTTCTTTTACCTAAATTAAGGCGGTCGAGACCCAAAACTTATATAATAACATTTACAATAATAATAATAATAATAATAATAATAATATTAAAAGAAGGCGTTCGAATGAATTTTTTAATCGATGCCCCCACAAAAACAAAAAAACAATTTTTTTTTAAACAAAAGAATTTAATTTACGTTTGTTTCGATATTGATTTGATTTCATCAACAATCGCGAACTGCAATTAATAATAATAATAATAATGATAATGATGATAATAACGGGAAATTTAAATTTTTTTTTTTTATATTTGCGTAAAACATTTTAACGTTTGACAACTCATCGAGTAACTTTTAAATGTCATCACGATAATAATAATAATAATAAATATTTATAATTTTTATTTAAACGGTTTTTAATTAAAATAAAAAAAAAAAAAATTTTCTTTATGGGTGGTAGAAAAACAACAACAACAACAACCACAAACACGAAAAAAAAAAAAAAATTTTAATTTCTCGCGTCTTTCGACGTCCAAAAAATTTTTTTTTTTTTATTTGTCTCACCCGAAGGTGTGTGTATTTTTCAGGTACCACCGTATTCCTTTTTTGGCATTAATAATAATAATAATAATAATAATGATAAAATAACACCATTGATATTCGAGTATTCATTCCTAAGGGATCGAGTAGAGATACTAAAAAACTCCAAATACATGAAATTTATCACGTTCAAAAGTGTTAATAATAATAATAATAAATTTGATAGGATATCGTACGATTCGAATTCGCAAAAATTATTATTATTATTATCTTAATCACATTGTTATTATTATTATTATTATTATTATTATTATTATTTAGAAACAAAATTAAATTAGGTTCGAATAAAAAAAAAAAAAAAAAAAAAACATTTACCCCGGAGGAAAATTTATTAATTTTTAATTTTTTAATTTTTTTTTTTGGTATTTAAAATTTTTACGTTGTTTTCCCCTCTCTTCCCTCACCTTCGGGATTCTGGCCGGAAGACGGGGAGAGGGGGGAGGGGAGGGGGCGAAATATTATTAATCGCCCGAAGATATAAACTTGGAATATTACAAAAAAATTTTTTTTTTTTTTTGTTCTAATGGCACAAACGATAAAGGTTGTAGATTTCATCTGGAAATTTAATTTTAGATTGAAATGCGGACGTTGCGTTGTCTGGTTGTTGTTTTTGTTGTTGTTGTTGTTGGTGCATTTAGGGTGCGTCAAGCTATTAACTCAAACTCATTTAAAAATCAATTTACGTCAATTTACACAACACATAATATTACTATCTCGGATGGGTCATCTGAATTTTCGGCGTGTTATTAACATAATCATATTAGAAGTCTACGGGTGGCCTAATATTGTAAATTATTATCTCCCTTTTTTTTTTTTCTCGGGTACCCACTTTTTTTCTCCCCTTTTGTTTTAAAAAAAAAAAAACGACAACAACAACAACAACAAACGCAACAAAATTTTTCACGCCGGTTTTAATATATATATTTCTTGTAGATCATAAATTTAACCGTTTTTTTTTAATGCCTTATTAAAATATCATAAACGTATACATCGTGAATTATATCATTGATATTATTATAATTATTTTTTAAATATTTGCATCAATTTATTATTATTATTATTATCATCATCATCCTCGTAATATTTATAATCGATTGACTTTTAAAAAAAAATTTATTTATATGTCGTTCGTTCGTACCATTTAAACGTATAAATTATTATTATTATTTAACTTTTTAAATAACCGTTAGTAAACAAACAAACAAACAAACAAAAGTAATAAATCAGAGTTTTGTTATTATTATTATTATTATTATTATTATTATCATATTTTACACCTCGTTAATTATTTAAACTCATTATTTTAAACCTCTCTCTCTCTCTCTCTCTCCCTTAACCCCTCTCCAAAACAATTTTTTTTTAAAATCATTTTTCTCCACGTGTCATTCACGTGTTTTGGGGATTTTAATTTAAATTTTTATTATAATTTCAGAAAAAAAAAAGAAGAAAAAAGAAAAAAGTGTTGTTTCAACGGTAAACAGGAGCTGACAATAATTATGTTTAATAAGGTGACCGCACCTTATATTCAATACCGACGGACCCCCTCAGGTAAACTATTTTTCAAATTATCACACAGATCTTGACTGACGGATACAACAACAACAACAACAACAACAACACATGCTTAATTAAACCGCTAAACTAAAAAAAAACTAAAATTTCGATATAATTATTTTTTAGTCCGATAACAATCCCTGGTTGTTGTTGTTGTTTTATATATAAACCCTTAAACGGTTTTACGCTGTTTGTGCCACGTCGTTTAGGATCTTTGACCGTAAAAACCAAAAAAAAAAAAAAAAAAAAAAACATTAACTGACCAGATGGGATACTACAACAACTATTACCTTTATTGTCTTTATTACATAAAATAACTTTGTTAATTATGTATTATTTGTTTTGTTTTGTTGTTACACCTGACGGACTAACGATAATTTTGTGTTTTCCTACCTTACCTTCACCCCCACACAATAATAGGGTCAATTAAATTTTTTTTTTTTTGTTTTTTCTTCTTCGATCATTTTAATTTATTATTAACTTCCTTCTTTACTTCCTTCATTCCTTCCTTCCTTTATTTATTTATTTTCCTATCGATATATTAAATTTTTTTTTTTAAATAATTACTTAATTAAAAATAATAATGATGATGATAATTCGTTTCGAATCGTATTGTTTATCCGCCATATTGTTATTAATATTTTTACATTTAATTCACGATCGTTTTTCTTTTTTTTTTGTTAGCTGCTAATAATAATAATAATGATTCGATTATAAAAATATGACGTAACGATTTGTTTATAATAACGAAACCTGAACATTTTTTTGTAATTTAACGGAAAACACGATAATTAATGTGATTAACCGATTTTTTAAAAAACATTTTCTATTAATTAATTAATAAAATTTAGTCAGATACCATTATTATTATTATTATTATTATTAGTTTTCACGACATTAACTCGAAGCAAATAATTATAAACTCAAAACTCATTTATGTAAATATATAAATTCTTGACGCAACGATGTAGATTTAATTTAAATAAATAAGTAATGTAATTATTTTTTTTTTTTTTCGTGCTACTAATTTAAAACATAACCAATGCCCGTCGTTATGTTTCGGATTAGTAAAAAAAAAAAAAAAAAATTTTTTTCGGCTCGTATTTTTAAATGAAAATTATTTTTTTTTACTTTCGCGTGCTTGGTTTTAAATGCGAAACACTTTTTCATCCCTACTCATCTCCCTCCCCCCTTTTTTTTTTTCTTTCCTCGCGGTCCCCCTAATTCAGGTATTTTTTTTTTTAAGATGAAAATTCATGTTAATTTCAAGGTAAATTAAACGTTGTTGTTGTTAGCAGAAGAAATTTTTTTTTTTTGTCGACTCGAAAATCGATTTTTTTTTTTTTTTTTCTTTCACACCTGTAAATTATTTTGTTAATTGATTTGCTCGTTTTAAAAAAAAAATTTTTTTCGTGAAGGGCCAAATGAGGGGAGGGGGGAGGGAGATAGAAGGGGAGATCGTGAGGAATTTAATGAAACGTGGAAAAAAAAAAAAAAAATTTTTGGTTTATATAAAAAATTCGATTTTAAATTAAATATTAACTACGAAACTTTTTTTTTTTTTTTTTGATTAGAGCGTGAATAAAATTTTTTTTCGTCTTATACTATTTACTCGAACGATCGATCGATTCATCGATATATCGATCTATCGATTGTGACGCTTTCGACCTCATCAATCATCAATTTATATACGTTTCGGAAATGATTTTTAATTATTCTTTAAATTACTCACTTGCCGGTCATTTTTTTTTTTTTTTTTTTCAATTTTTTTTCATTTTCTTTTTTTTTTTTTTGAATATCTTTAAGGCAGATCATTAATTTTTTTTTTATTATGTAAAATTAAAAAAAAAAAAAAAAACTTCCTTCATCACATTTTTTTTATATTCTTATATCCACGACACGCGCACACGTATACACTCTTGATTTTCTTCTCTCTCCTCTTTTTAAACTTCTTTCTAGTTAACCTGAGCGTTTAATTTTCTTTTTTTTTTTGTAAATTAATCGACGGCTTTAAATTATTATTATTATTATTATTATTATTACGATCATCATCATCATCATTATTATTTCTTATTTAAACCATCAAATATTTTAATGAGATCCACGCACACATGCACTCTCTCTCTCTTTTTTTACTAGCAATTTAATTTACCTTTAGATATATTTAATTTGATAAAAAAAAAAAAAAAAATTTATTTATCCACTCCTTGTTTTCTTTTTATCATCATCATCATCATCATCATTATTATTATTATTAATTACGTAATTAACTTTTTAAGAAAAAAAAAAAAATTTAAAAAACACGAAAGAATTTTAATAACCTTTAATAAATGTTAAGTGAAAAAAAAATAAAATTTTTTTTTTTTTTTTTGGGTGATTTTCATCGTTTGATTTTTTTTTGAAATAAGTTTAAACGTCGTCTGCATATATATATACAGAGTGTCCAAATAAAAAAAAAGTGGGGAAGAAGGATAAATCAAACTAAAAAAAAAATTTTTTTTTCCATTAATTTTACTCTTCCCCCACGAGTAAATGTTACGACGAAAAAGGAAAGAAAACTTATTAGTTTATTTAACGACGAAATAAAAATTTATGCGTTATTTAAAAAAAAAAAAAAAAAATTATTAACTTATTAATAATGATAATAATAATAATTAATAACGTTGAAGAAAAAAAAAAAAAGATTTTATTTATATAATTTATGTTAATTTAAAAATTTAAAATTTATAACCTTCTTACCCAAATAATTTAATGATGTTTACTGCAAAACCTTTTCAGAGAGAGAGAGAGAGAGAGAGAAAATTAACAATTTATTTATGACTTTTTCATCATCATTATTATTATTATTAACTGTTTTTCTTATTCATTCATCAATCAAACAAAAAAAAAGTAATAATTTAAGTTGATGCATTTTTTTTTTTTTTTTGAAAAGAATTTAAAACACAAAAATCTATGTACGAATGATTAATTAATTATTTTAAAATAAATAATAATTTATGTAGATTTTTTTTTTTTTTGTTTATCGAATTTATTTATTACACGTGTGCGTGTACGTGCGTGTGTGTATGTGTTAAATTAAACACACACACACACCCACACAAACACAATAAACCGAGTGTAAAATTTTAATTATTAAATACATAAGAAAATTTTTAAATATGGCGGTGGATTTTGTTTTTGTTTATTTTTAAATGCGGAAACAAATAGTTAAACTCGCTCACGATAATTAATAATTATTATTAATTAATTACCTCTTGAACATCACGAAATTATTTTAAATAACGGATTTCCATTGTGTTAATATTATTATCATTGTTTTGTTTTTCCAGGTATTTCCGGTCAATTTTTTTGTTGGGTCAATATGAACACGTTTGGAAAAATATTTGTTTTGGATATAATCACGTGATAAAAAGAAGAAGAAGAAGAAGAATTCGATAAACGAAAACATATATATATATTATTGAAATAAATGAAGGAATTTAAAACGTTTTGTTAGACGCCATGTTGATAGTTGTCGACCGTAGATCGCGTGCTCGAAGTTGATCCCCCCACTTTAAAGGCAGGTAAACCCAGGTAAATAAGAGGCGTGATCAACGATAATGATTGGCTGATATTATTTTTCTTATCTTGGGGGGTAAACCCGTTTTTATGGGGGAACAATTAGTGTCAGTTCATCTTCTGTCTCGGAAAAATTTGGATTGAAATTAAAATTTTTTTTTTTTTTTTTTTGGAAAATGATTGCTATCGCGTTTATTCATTGATATCCGCGAAAATTTTTACCGTGTCGCGAAAAAAATTAAATAAAAACATTAAATTTTTGTTAAAAACAAACGCCCCGTTTAAAAAAAACGTACGCACGCGCACGCACTCACACATTTATTAATACGGTTTCGCTCGTAAGGGAAAAAAAAAAAAAAAAAAAAAATTTTTTTTTTTTGTATCATTCGGAACGTATGCTCGATACCGGGTTCATATACTACGGCACTGATAATTATAAGGGAATGGATTTGACAACACGACAGCGTCCGATGTCTTGTGATAATAAAACAGGAGGACGATTGGCTAAATCCATTTTTTCTATAAGAAGTTTAATGGATGTTAGTGAAGAACCACCGGAAAATGGAGGAGGAGATTTCAAAACTCAACGATTCGACGGTAAGTCTCTTATTTATTTTATTAATTAATATTATTATCAATAACCGCCGCTGCCGCTGCCGCCCCCCACTCGCTTGTTAATAATTATTTTCCCTACAGAGATTTTTCATTAAAAAACAAACAAAATAATAATAATAATAATAATTCATTTCAAACGCGCGCGTTTTTTCCCCTTTTTTTTATTGCACGAATTAATAATTTTTTAATTTATTTCGGCCATAACGTTTTATTATTATATACTTTTTTTTTTATTAAACAAATATTTAAATTATTTAAATAAATAAATAACAAAAAGATAGGATTTTTATAGTTATAGGGTCTTCATATAAAGAAAACGTCAGAATTTACGTGCCTAAAAAATACTTTAACTTGGCCATAATCGGCACGCGCACCATAGGTTTTTTATTTATAGACCTATTATAAAAAAAAAAAAAAAATGATGGTTAACCGGTATCCGTGCTTAATAATTTTTTCAGGTATATTTATCCAACCGAAATATTAAAAAAGCCACCTTAATGTTATTATATGAGAGGACCACGTTAATTGTATCCATCAGCGTGCTTTTTTTTTTTTTTTTTTTTTACGACATTAAGTTGACCGGTTTTTTAACATTTTCGAAAAACGGCCCCCCCCCCAAAAAAAGAAAAAAAAATAATAATAATTTTTCATCATTAAAATCCATTCTTAGAATTTTATATTTATTTATTTATTAAAAAATAAATAAATAAATAATATATTTATTAGTTTTTTTTTCTCTCTCTCTCTCTGATCTAGAATACATAAACTATTATGTTTACTTCCGTTTTGACAAGACATTCATTAAAACTATTCGCGTATTATTTTTTATTATTCTATTTTTTATTACTCTATGGTTTCGATTTTTAAACGTTATTTATTTTTAAAAAAATTTCGGTCATAAAGTAAATAAATTAAATTTCAAAACAAAAACGAAATTTATTTGATTATTTTTTACAAAAAAATTTTTTCGTTTGCTGTTGGGTTGGAAGGGAGTAGGGGTCTGGGGGGGGGGGGTAAACAAACAATTATTACTCTATGATTAAATATATTTTAGTTTAAACGTTAAAATATCGGTTTTGAGTTTTAAAAAAAAATGGCAGGAATTTTTTTTTAAATATTTTTGACATTAAAAAAATTAAATTTTTTTTTTTTTTTTTTTTTCAATACTTTTTCATCTTCTGCTTTAAATCTTGTTTTATATCGTCGAATAAATTATTTTTATAGCTTTATATAATCAAATGAATGACCATATAACTATAAAATTAATCTTCTATATAATTGCTACATTTAGTTTTTTTTTTTTTTTTTTTATATGTGCCTGGTTTTCCTTTTATTACAAAAAAATTTTTTTTCCATTAAATTCTCCGTGTAATAATAATTTCGGTTCCCTTTTTTTTTCTAAATTTTAATGCGAGTTTCCAAAAATTATTTTTTTATTACGCGCGTTTTAAATAAATAAACGCACGCGTAATAAAATATATATATATAATTTCATATTATAAAGAACAAAAAAAAAATTAATGGATCGATAACCGATAGTTATTTATTATTATTATTTTTATTATTATTAAAATAAATTTAATTAATTTTTAAAATTATTTGCGTTACCCCCCCCCACACATACGTTAAATTTCAAAATGGCCGTTTCTTTAAAATTTTTAGCTCCCTGACACGTCATTAATTTTTTTTTGTCATTCATCATTTGTTATATAAAGAAAGAGCTAAAAAAAAAAACGAATTGATTTTTGTCTATCATGATTGCGGTTTAAAATCAAATTGATGAAACAAAATAATAATAATAATATTATTATTATTTATAAATGGAAACAGCCCCTGCAGTGAGAAAACAAAAAAAAAAAAAAAAAAAACATTTTTTTTTAAGTGAGAAATTTGATTCGGTTTCCATATTAATAAACACCTTTTTTAGGCTCAGCGTGTAGCCGGGTGGAAATAATTTTTTTTTTTTTTTTTGTTATGAAAAGACATGAACCGTCAATAGAATTTGTTTTCCGGTTAATTCAAGATATAAAAAAACATAATTAAAAAAAAAACAACAACCAAAACAAACAAAAACAAACGATTCTTTCTCGTATGAATTCTTAACTTAAAAAAAAAAAAATCAACGTTTTGCATTGTGTGTGTGTGTTTTTGTTTTACATGTACGTGTTATCGTGGTTGGAAAATTTTTTGGTAATTTTATTTTTCTATTACCACGACGACGACAAGAAATAAACCACGATAAAACCTTGGCCATTTTTTTTTTTCAAATCATTTCCTGCACGAAAAATATAATTAAAAAAAAAATTCATTAATATTATTATTATTTTATCGTTGAAATATTTAAATAATTATCTATCGAATTTTATTTATTTATTTGGTTTTGATTACGTCATAACGTGACCGGAAATGAACTTTGCATTAACTTTTTGCAGTACGACAAATTTAAAGGGGGTTTATTAATAAAACAAATAATGTTTAGTTATTGGTATTTTAAAGCAATAATAATAATAATGATAATGATAATGATGATGATAGATTTTATTTTAAAAAAAAAAAGTTATCGAACAAAGAAATTTTATATTGACGAGACTCGGTCGGTAATATAATTTCGATGTTTTTAAATTATAATAAATAAATAAATAAATAAATAAATTTATTGTCGAATAAAAACCATTAATAAAATTTATGTACTCATGTATTTATATTTTTATATATATTTTAAATAAATAAAATTTTTGCACACTTGTAAAAATTATATATATATATATATATATATATATATATATATATACGTATGGTAATTAATGTTATTATAGTCTTTCGGTTTCGCGCAAAACTTACAAGGTTGTTTTTTTTTTTTTATAAAACACGAATGCAAACATGGAAAATTCAACACACGCAAAACAAACTATAAAAACCAATATAAAATAGAAATATAAAAGAAGTTTAAAAGAAAAAAAAATTATAGCTTAAAATAAAATCTGGTTTTCCAATAAATTTTGTTTGAAAAAAAAAAAAAAAACTTGTCTCTTATTATACATAAAAAAATTTTTTTTTTTTTCCATAATTTTTTCTTTTTTTAAACAAATTAATATAAATAAATAATAATATTTAATTTTATAAGAATTGAAAAATGATTATTATTATTGTTATAATAATAATAATAATAAAATGATTTTACGTTACCAAGTGTAAATCGAATATTATGTAGGCGTTCCTCCTCTATCTTATATTAATTAATAACGCATTTGAAAACGCTATAACAAGTAGTTTTAACCGTTTAAAACGTTCTAGAACGAAATTCAAATTTTAGTAATAAAAATTACCGCATGCGACAGCGCCAGTTCGATTGACAAGTAGTTAACGTCGCGATTACTTACATAATTAATTATATTAATAAATTTTTTTCTGTGTTGTTTTAAGTTTTATTAATAATAAGTTTTGATTTAATAAAAAATGTTTTGTTAAAATATTTAGTGCGTGATAATCAAATGTTTTGTTTAATTAATTTGTTTTAAGTTAAAGTGAAGAAAAAGTTTGCGGTTTAATTTTACAAAAGATAGCGTGGGTATGAAAATATTTTAAATGACACCTTAAAACGTGTGATTTCAAATCATAAGTAAGTCATTTTAAAATTCATTTTTTAATCGTTGCAAAAAAAATGGCGAGCTTGCAAATTTCTAGAACAATCTCTTTGAATTAAAAAAGTTTTTTTTTTTCATTTTGTATCCGTTTAACTGTTTTGTTATACGAATCATATGTATCATAAAGTCTGTCAGTTTAAGCAAATTTTATTTTTGAATATGTTGGTAAAAAGAAAAAGATAAAAAAAGTCACAAGGATTATAATTCATGAAATGGTGTTATAAAATTTTGATATAATCCTATTCTTTGTTTAAGTGTTTGTTAATTTTGTGTTGTTGAATATTTTGCATTTTTATTCTTAGTTTTGTTTTATTTCACTATATTGAACCTTATTTAATAATTATTATTATTATTATTTCACTCTGAAAAGAGAAAATACAATGAGAATCATATACACTAATATATACTATTTTATGTGGATTGATTGTATTGTTTAATGTTAAAAAAAATTAAAAATTTCAATAATTACTATACTTAAGTGATGCAGTTATACTAAATTTATAATTTGACAGCATTTTAATCCAAATAATTAGTTAAATTTATTCATTTCAATAAGGTGGTGATCATTTCAATATGGAGGTGATTTTCAATGCAATAGACAAAAATGTAATTTGTTCTCATAATAATTAAGATTCTTTTAATAATAATACATTTATGGATTATAATTATTGAAAACTGTTTATAAAACTCTATGATTCTGCAACAATTACACTACAAATTTATAAAATATTTTAAATTTTCTTAAGTTTAATTTTGCTTTGTGTCCAAACCTTGCTTGTGTGTTCAGTTACCTTTTTTCTAACTGATACAAAATGTTATATAAAAAAACTTATAAATTTAAAGTGAATGATTGTAATAAATGTCGTTTTGTAGTAAAATATATAAATAGAAGTAAAGTGACCATTTTTCAATCACAATAGTACTAGGGGAGTACTACCATATCATAATGTAACCAGTTGGGTAGTAGTTTATGTTAGGCAATAAAATATGTTAAATATTATTGCAGTGTAGTATACAGAAGTGAAGAATTGTGTGTAGTTTGTTTCCTTCAAGTTATTTTTATGATACTTAAAATTCATTATTATTATTAAACTTTGTTTTGTTTAAATCAAATTATAATGAAATAAATTGTCTTAATTATATACATCGTTTATTTTATTAAACAAATGAGTATAGAAAAAAAAAACAATTTGAAACGCTAGAACTATGTAAGTGAGGTAAATGAGAAAAAACAAAAAAAAAAAAAAAATTAGGATAATTTTCGTTCTACTCATGGTCTTAGAATGTTCAACGAGGCAGTGATTTTCACACATTCTGATTTTAAACATTTTGTAGATATTTGTCACTGAAAAGTTTAATTTAGAAGATAACTTAAAATTTTGTAAAAAAACTCATGTGCTATTTATAAAATTCAGATCTGGAAAACGTACAAACTCACACATGGAGACGTTAGGAAAAAGAAAATACTAAAACTTGTTAGTGTAATTAAAATATTAGTAAAAGTGGAAATTTAAATATTACAACCGTAAAATAAAATTAAAAAGATCTGGAATGTTCCTGAAATGGAATAGAATGCGAGGATTAAAGACGATAATACATTAGGTCAAAATGAAAGAAAGGATCGAAAGTAAAACAAACGCTGAAAGGCAATTTATAGCGAATTTTCGAGTTTAACTTTTAAAACTCTCCGCTAAAAAAGTGCGTTTCGTAAAACGTTTAATGTACGTTCAGGAAGTTTTATTTTTTGGATTTCTGTAATTCAATTCATACTTATCTAATATATCTATTACACTTCTGGGAAAAAATTTTTTTTTTTACAAATACGCAAAACTTGTTATGC